AAAAGATTATGATTAAATTCACCATTTGATATTTGATACACCACACTCCCATAAAGCTTCTTTGCCATTTCAAGAGTGCAAAAGGATCTTATCGAATCCATATCGAACTCGTTTTCTTTTTTTTTTTTTTTTTTTTTTTTTTTTTTTTTTTTTTTTTTTTTTTTTTGAGAGAGAGAGTCAAAAATCCATATCAAATCCTTAATGTAATTGAAGAAACATATTTCTGTCAAATACGGTGGTGTGAAATAAAGAGGTCATTTAAAATGTTTAAGTACCATACTGATTATATTGAGCTCGTACACAACTACAAAACCTGTATCAGTCTCGGCTTATGCCTCATCTAATATAGGTTTGACAGCTGTGTACTCGTCCGATAAAATTCAGTATTGTATTCAACGATGTACCTCATAGCATCAACCACTCTCTAAAACTGAAATGTTAGGTACCTGTATATACTCAGAACAATGCCTACTTATAACCAAGCAATGGATTACCATCAAATTTTCCTCTATTTTCTGCTTGAAAAAATATTACACAATTATCGACTTATTTTAAGATATTTATATAGTTTTCGGATCTATTATTTTGTTTATCATTAAACAGTTATAATGACCGAGGACGATATAACCTTTATCAGGTCGGAAAATCTAGATATTGCCTATGATCATTATATCGAATCAATGTATGTATGTAGTTAATGTTTAATGAGGGTCCATCCGCCCGTAAAGGCACAAAAAGCAGCTTTCGCTGTCGAGTACGGACCCCGGACATGTCACAAGTCATGCCCTTAAAGAGTTAATTTTGAAGCACAAAGTGGTGATAATTTACCTCCATGCAAATTCCACGGAGTATTAGCCAAAGATATGAATTTTGAGCCAAAAGAAGGTCACTGTACGGCGGTCAAAGAGAATCTAAATGTACAGTAACCTGTGACAATATGAAAGGGTAGCCCTGAAAAGGGCTGTTGGTGCAAAAGGCCTGCCATTCAAGCCATCTAACCGTTCTAAGGGCTCATGCACCCTAGCGCACCGTCCTCGTCGACCCAAGCGCCTACTTTGTAGGGCCTCTCCCCTTGGCATTAGTCAGGACACCGGCAGCTGGTCCGCAGCACAAGTTCCGATCTTTTTTTCGCCGTCCCCAGTCTTCAAATCTTCTGCCGATGCCTTGTGCCTTCTCAGCGACGTACACGCCCCAAAGGGAAGTGAGAAGATATCGAATCAATCGGAACATCTCAGCTTTTATCCATATCCAAAGTTTGATGGAAAAAGCCGAAAAGATGCGATTGATTATAGAATAACACTGGCTATGTGTTCGACCCACGTTTTTGCAGATTCATGACGTCACCACAAATCAGCCAGTCGAAAGGGGGCTTTTATAAACGGTACAATTATTGATTATTGCAGCCATTGAAATCTTTCACCAATTTGATTTCTATCTTTCGGAACGATTTGTCAGAATTTGTATCTAATAAATATTCAGGACTTGTCAATATTTCAAACGCAACTCGTGAATTTCTTAGTGACGATGTCATTGATGTTTATGTTAAATTGTTTCTTTTGTTATATGCTGATGATACAGTACTTTTAGCAGAAAGCAAAACTGATTTGCAAAATGCCTTAAATGCTATGAGTGAGTACTGTAATATATGAAATCTTGTTGTAAATGAAGCTAAGACTACTGGCAAAATTTGAATGTTACACATCAATATTCGGCTCGTCACACAACTCATGGAAATTCCATCATGTTCTAAACATAGAATAACCCTTAGTTATGAGGCCTCATATGGGGTACAGAAATTATCCATTATTTTGTATGAAGAGAAGTAGTTCCCGTACATAAAATTTAACCCATTATAATTATACAATTTTATTATATCGGACCTTTTTTTCATTTATAATTGTTGAACAGACTATTTTCTTAGAGATAAATAGATGTAATTCAGGAAATAGAAAGTAGACTAAACGCGTGTATCAATTACCCGGTACCGTTACCCCCAACGCATTCACATGCGATGACATGCTTGTATGCATGATATTTTACGCATCAAAGTCATAAAATTGTTTTTATATAGTAATTATGGTCAAAATTCTGATAATTAAACAAGTTTTTTATCACATTGCCTTCTTATCTGTAAACAGGTGGTATTAGTGGAAAACCCTTTAAAACATGCCTCCGTGTAAGTATGTTTTGCTGCGCGTTGCGCGCTAAAGGACGGAATCCCAAGATAAAACAAGGTCACGTTTTAAAACGCACAGGTGAAAGTGATTTAAAATGAGACTTTTTATACGGACTGCCTATTTGACACTAAGATTTTGTCTCGTTTATGTATCTGCTTGATTTGAAATGAATTTTTGAAGAATGCATGTAAAAATCAAGCGTTTAAATGAAAAATACGGGTACTGCTTCTGTACGGGAACTGCTCGCATGCCAGTAAAGTAGTGGTTTTTAGTAAGTCAAAACCTAAGGATGACTTTGATTTTATGTACAATGGTAAAAAGCTTGATTTAGTAGATAACTGTACTTACCTTGGAGTACTTTTTAATTATAATGGTAAATTTTTGAAATAAAGAAATTCTTGTTGATAATATTAGAAGAGCAATGTTTTCTGTGATCCAAAAGTCACTTAAATTATGTTTACCAATTTCTTTGCAACTACATTTATTTAACTCTATGGTTGTATCTATCCTTCTTTATGGAAGTGAAGTTTGTGGGTTCGAACAAGTTCAAACTTCTAGAGAAAAATTTCAGTTGTATTTTTTGTAAATTATTTTTGAATTTAAAAAAGCTTCTTACACCTAATTGTATGGTTTATGATGAGTTAAGGGCATATTCGCCATTAGCCTTACAAGTGAAAGCAAGAGTTTTGTGTTTCTGGAGTAAAATTATTAATGCTAAGGAAAATAAGATATGTAAACTTCTTTATAAAGCAATGTTGTCTTTGTCCTCTAGGAATATTGTTAATTCTAAATAGATAAATTTTGTGAGAGAAACACTTAATAATCTTGGCATGTCAGAATATTTTCATTTACAGAAGGTAGATAATATTAATCACTTTAAAAAATTTGTAAAGCTTAGACTACAAGATCAATTTTTACAAGATTGGCATAGTACTATTGATACATCCTATATAAGTGTTTAGTGTATCGTACATATAAAAATACTCATTGTTTTGAAAAATATCTAGATGTACTTCTTTTTGATGCAAATATTTATGTAAATTTAGAACAATGAATTACCTATTACCAATAAAAAAGGCAGACATTTGGCAATTGATCATAATAATATGCTCTGTTCCTTATGTCCGTATCAAGCTATTGGTGATGAATTTCACTACTTATTTGAATGTTCGTACTTTAATGACATAAGACTTAAATCTCTTCTTCCCAGGTTTTATATTCATCCCAATATTTTTTTAAAATTTAGATAATTAATACTTTTCATTCTCCGTTCCCATTTGTTACAATGTAAAATACATGTTGTATTGAATTCAGTACTTGAAATGAACAATATGATCTCCTTTTTTGTTTATTTAGCTAGTCATTATTGTATTCTTATATTGTGATATTAGTGATTTTTGACTGTTATTTTTCTGTTTGTTTGTTGTTATAACCAGTTGCATATTATATGCCTTGGTTTAATAAAAACTGAAATATCATACAATTATTGACCAATCACCCATTGAATATGATGTGGTAGTCACCAATACAATGTCATATCAGCGAATGTAATTTATTATTTGTTCTGTTGACGACTGCTTGGACTAATGAGATCACAGCTATTTCAAATCGTATGATAATAATTATTAGCGACCAGTATATGAATCAAAATACGTTGGCAGCATTGAATATTGACATGCTTGTGCAAGTTACCCACTTTGCTGTTTTATAATACACACATATGATAATTTGTTAACCGTTTGACGAAATCTGCCGACACGTCTTTTATTTCAATTGAATACATGTATCAACGGGTCTTCATAGACAAAGCAACAGTATTGTTGTCGCCACCTACGTTTATAACTCCAATATAGAATTGTTTTTGACAGATTGATGGTTTGCTACAATAAGTATCTATTATTCAATCACACATCCTTCTTCTTCATCAAGTTTGCTTTTGTTCGTTTTTCACACACTGTAGTTACTATACCGTTCCGCGGCTCTACCAACTGAGCTATTCGGCCGCTTACACATCTTCTCCCCTAAATAGTGAACAACAACAACAACAACACATCTTTTATTCACTCAAACATGCATACAACATGTAATATGAGGATAATGTCAAAATGTTTAACGAGGCATTAATACAAATTGAGATCAGACTATAATACTAAACAATATCAACATTTCTATTACATATTATTTAATTATATGCATATTTTGCCTTAGAAACATTTTTTTAACTTCTTTAGAAAGTGCAAACCTGAATTTAACAACATTTAAATATTTCTTGAACAGAATGTAAGATATTTATTACTAGGAGAAAGTAGCTATAAATGTGATATAATTTGTCATAAAAGTTGTAAAATAAATAAAGTAGTATTTTAACTTCCATACAAAATACTAATTCACTATACTTGTATATATTTCAAAAAAAGAAAATTTTGAAATGAAAGATGATTCATGTAATAAGCCAGTGATTAATCGTTTAATACTATAAAAGTACAACAAAAATTCGTATGAGAAATGAAAATAAAAGTATATGTGCGGCATAAAGGACCTTTGCAGTATAGTAAGAAAGTGGTAAGTGAATATCATCAAAACAAAAATATATCTCAGAACATTACAAAATCATAACTGATTTAAAATGAAAACATAAATATTTGATTACATTCTTACATTTCTTATAATTATCATTTAGAATTTGCATAGTTTATAAAATGCAGGCGAATCTTTCATTGTAAAAAGTTGTTCTAATTTAAACATATTAGGACGTCTATAAAAATAAGGTTCTATAAATTGTCTTCTTTCATTAGAAAATCTATTACATTAAGATTAAGGTTAAGATTTGGGAAGTTTTGATACTTAGAAAGCGGTTAATAAAGATATCACATAAACCAAAAGATGCGCAAACGTTACACGTGTTACTAGCGTTACACACTAGACAGAATTTGAAATTCACGCAAAGGTACAGGAGTACCAAATTACATATCGGTGCAGTAATACTAAATTATCTAACAAACACTTCTAAAATAAATCAATATTGGCGAACACTGCTGAAAGCAGCGAAAACATAAAACTAAGTGAAGTCTTTGTAGACGATGATACTTCCGGTGGTTGTTCTATAAACGGGCTGTCACCTAAGCATATTCTTGGTTCCAAAGTACCATCAATGTTGCTGATCACTTCAAATTCACCGTCAAAGTAGATGACATCATTGTAAGAGAGTAGCGTATTACCTGCTAAGAGACTATAATCTGAACCATTGAATCCAAGGGATATCATTTTACAGAAATTCATTTTGTTAATTCTCCCAAATTCCGATGTAATTTCTTTTGAGGTTATAATTTGGAATATTGAATTTTGTCGAAAGTATGGGATCTTCCCGGGGAACTGATTTCGGGTTGCAAAATCGTACCATTTAGGAACTATTTGATTATTGATTGTCGACGGCATAAGGGCCTTATATTCTAAGAAATGTGAAGTAAGGGACATTTCTGCTTGCAGGCCCATTATTTTCCATGATTTTTTCATATAATGTTTAACCTCATTGAGCACTGAATGATGTTTCTTTCCCTTGTGATGCAGTGTTAGGAATATGATGAAACTTCCTATATATTGCCTCTGGTTGCTTCCTACTTCCAATTCGTAAAACAAAGAATGTACCGCCCACCTCTTAGGCAAAGGGCAGTACATCCAAGAACTTACGTCACTTCCGCTTTGCAGTAATGTCATCAAAGTGGACATATTCATCATATCGGAGTCGAACTTCAGACGAAGGGCAATGTGATATGGAATTAGCCATGTCAGTGCCGGATGAAAACACTTGAAGTTGATGTCATATATTTGACCCGACGGACACTGGATATTCACGCACGTATCATGTACCTATTTGAAAAGGGGAAAAGCATGTTTGTAAATTTCATATTTTATCATACGACATCATGATCTAAAGAGCAAATAATTCCAACATCAAGCATATTTAATGTCAATGTACAAATAGAATTAACATTAAAAAAATGAAATAAAAATCCAAGAATTTAAAGCATAAGTTATTTTGCTGTATTGTTATCCATGGTTAAAGGAAATCTACTGAGTTCCAAATGCCTAAAAAGTAAAGTTTGAATTTCTTACTTAGATCAAATAAAACCGTATGCAAAATATGATTAATATATTATACTAATAGTCAAATTAAAAAGTCGGTATTATTTGTGCGATTCTTTTGCCAGATTCCAAATAAAAGCGTTTCATGTTTTTTTTGTATTTTTATAGCAAACAATAATTATACTCTAAAAATCTGAAATGTTGCACAAAAGTAATTGGTTCAGACGTACAACAAATGAAATTTAGACTTCAAAAAAAATCAGACAATACACCTTAGATACCCTTAGTGGAGTTTCTTTCGAACCGAATGTTTTCAGAGATCTAGGATGTGATTAAAATTAAAAATTGCTTTTGTTATTGTTGTAAACAGTAAAAGATAATACCTGACTCTTTGAAGTTGGATTCATACATGCTATTGGCCAATATGTGCTCTTTTTAACGGTTATATCTGTAAAACTGGTAAGGGCTCCTGTATCTAGCAAACATGTAAATGTCCTGTCATTTATAGGCGGTCCAAATGATTGCGAGTTGAAAGAAAAGCAGTATTCAGCCATGAAACTTTCACCACCATTGCATAGAAAACAGAACACGTTGGCATATGTACGGTCGAAATGAAACGGTGCAGCAATTCCACTAGTACAAGCTTCAATAACGTCATCCGTTGTCATTGCGGACATTGCAGGGGTAGATGTTTCTGTTTTGTTGCATGTATCAATGATATCAGGAAAACATATTTCTGTATCTAATGTTTGCCTGAAAGTGAAATAAATATTGCAGTATTCCGAAAACGAGTTGTAAGAGAATGAATTGAAATTTTCAGTTACAGAGATATAACGAGTATGGCTTTTGTCCCGTGCTTCGCAATTCATTTGAGCCAACCATGCAACACCATCACGAACTCCATGACAATCCGCACATGCGCTATTTTTATAAATTTTCCCTGTTGATTCGAAATAAATTGGAAAAAGGCTTCCCCATGGTGCAACATGAGCGTTTCCACAGTTATTTGTGTTATTTTGACCAGAATTTTCCTCATCGGGACATGAAGTTGTCATGTAGTAGAATCTATACTTGGTGTATTCAGATGCAAGGAGGTTCAAGGTATGAGGACCAATACATTCCTGGTATTTTCTTTGATTACGTAATGCGGTTTTTTCAGCTTCAGTTGGAAAGCAACAATCCCCATGCTTCGAGCAGTCCGCATCACAAGAGCAATCTGTAAAATTGTATTAAAGGAACTCAACTGAGGTAAAATACCTAAAAGTTTAAAATTTGAATTTCTTACATAGATCATCTGAGAAAGTTAAAACATAAAATATGCAAACGATAATTAAAAAATATAAAATGAAATAAGTTGAAAACCTTATATCAGTGAAATCGTTGCAACGTTTTTCAATTTTTGGTAATTTTCACAATTACAATCTTTTTTTAGAATAACGGAGAGAGCGAATGATCTGAAAATCTGAAATTTCGCACACAAGTTATTGGTCAAGACCTACATCATTTGGAATACAAAATTAATTTCAGTCTCGTCTCGTAAAAAAAACCTCAAGGTAGTCCATTTAAAAATGAAGTAATGTAAACAGCTTAAGACAATATTGATACGGAACCTCTCTCCTAAACATATTTGACATTTTAAGTTGCTGACAAAATGGCCACCCTACAATAAGGTTCACACAAAATTTTGTCCATATTTGTTGTAGTAAACGTGTATTCATGAACTAAAAACTATTTTCAAACACTAGATAGTTATTATCAACGCCGATAGACTTGATATGTTTCCTTTAAAACGCATTTTCTGTACTGTTATACTATAGTGAAAAAGGGATGTATTCTTATCATAAATAATGACTTTCAATGCAATGTTAGTCCATATTGCCTTTGAAATGCAAACAAATGTACTGCAGAGTCAATCCTTATCAAGTTAATAAATAAGTATATATACATGTATATATTATGGTATTTATGGTACAAATAAAAATGTATAATCAAACATACCCTCACAACAAGAGATTTTTCCTGTCTCGGCTTTGTTGACGTCACTTAAATTATTATTTCCACATATGTTTGACAGCGGGCAAAGTGTTTTAGCAGCATTAAGCATTGCATTCTTGAACGTGTTGATTCCAGACGACGAATTCTGAAGTAACAATGCATTGCAAACCGAAGCAAAAATAATTACAGCGCAAGCCGTATACAACATCATTTTTACTTCGTCATTCACAGAATAAACAGACGACCCTCATACGATACTGTGTCCGTCACCTTCTAACTTTTTACTGCCTCATTATTCCATTTATATACCACAATGGGTGTGGCCGCGGCATGCGTTTAACAAGACAACTTATTGTTTGGTTATGGAAATGTTGTTTATAATAAATATGTTTTCCACGGCGGAAAAGAAAAAGAAAAGCTAGGTTACCTGGAGCAATTATCAAGTAACAACATGGATGTAATGAGCCTTGTCTCAAAATTTAAGACCTTATGTCCTTAACAGTTTTAAAGAATGTAAACAAGAACTTATTACATAAACAAAAATTCGAATTATATAAACAAGACATTTCATGTTATGCATACCAAAAAGTACGTGAGACATAAAAAGGGGGACGGATTCCATTGAACAAGTATATTTTATAACCCGGTAAATTTCATAAAATTCCAAAAACTGAATCGGGAAATACACATTATCACTAAAATATGCCATCATTTCGTGATATCCTTGTGTAATTTTAGCCACTTTTTACACAAATTAACTGACCAAATACTTTTTATTGTATTTAGAATATTTTTTAATATTATTTTATCGGTCATATTTTTCCAATATCATTAATTAGAAAACAAAAATCTGTATTTAGATATAATTCTACGTATTGTTGATCATGTTTCAGAGAAAAATAAATAAGCATGTTGGATATTGAGAATTTTTTTAATTTCCAATGTGGGCTTAAATTAAGGCCAATTAAGTAAAAAAAAAACCTACAATTTTTATTTCTTTGTTACAGTTTTCAAAAGTTAATTGTTGGCCATAAAGATGAACTATCTTTTGCTTCTTTTGCTCTTATACAATTTGTATAATTATATTGATTTGTTTTGCTTTCTTTTTTTTCTTTTTTTGTGGGGGAGGGGCTGTTGTTGTTTTTGTTTGTTTTGTTTGTTTTATTTGGGGGGGGGGGGTATTGTATTTATTTTATTTTTATTTATTCATTTATTTACTTTTTTATTTTTATTTTTTTTGGGGTACAGATTTCAAACTACTATTTTGTTTACACTTACTATCTTTATAACATTACTAAACGTTCAGCGCTACTCACTTCAGTTATTAAACATCTTACATGCTCTTAATACATTAGATAAAGCAGTATACAGATTGGAATATAAAATAAATGAATTTAATTAGTATATTATTCTACGCGAAAACATAATACAAAGAAAACGTCAAAGGCCAATTGGAGTTCATCCATTTCTTCTACCAATTATTTATTTTGATATGTTCCTTTATTGATAAGATTAAAGCTATTTTTCTTGTGCTCTTTAATTATGATAATAATTGAATGTACAGAAATATACATTGTAATAAAAACGGACATTGAATTTCCAATATATAAAATGGATGAATGTTTTGCGATGTATTATGCAAAGTCATTACAATTCGTGGGTAACTTATTTTCGTGCTTTTCGTTGATAGGACAATCCATGAATTTAATAAACAACGAAATTCGCCTGCTTTTAAGATTATTTTGCATTTTACATCATTTGCAATTTACTCTTTTTGCACAAACTGACAATCCACGCAATTTAAGAACTCCCAAAAATAGATATCTTTTTCGAAAACTATGAAATTTCGTGGCCGCAAAATTAAGTTAGTTTACAGTATACATATTGTTTAAATTCTAGAAAGAAAATTCATGCAAATATTCTTTTAAAATAAGAATATTTGGTTTTGTTTGATGAGCAGACTAATCTCTTAAGAACTGCTTTCCAACTGACATCTAATCAAAGTTGTTTATTATAATTTTGATACGAATTCAAATAATCAAAAATAGAGCGGATAAGGATACAAAGTTCATACAACGGGCAAAGAGTAACAACTTTCTGGGAGGACAAGTTTCGAAAAACACACGTGGGAACAGAACATAAACATATACAGTTATAAAGTCCATTGGCGATTTGTTTTAATTCAATTGCCATTATTTTGATGATTTTGTCATGTAACTGGTTATTCTCGTATATTGAAAAAAGTATCCAATAATAAACATATTATATAATTATGCACTGTCATAAAATGTGTACCTAATATATTCAACATGCATCTGAGAGATTCCTCTTCTAAGAAATTAAACACTTAAAAAAATGATGTTTTATATGGAAAATCAAATATTCTAAAGATCATCAGCTAAATAATTCAGTTAAAACCGAAATTTCTTCCAGTTTTTATTATCACAGATAACTTATTAAAAAAAATATTATGCTTAAATTCACCATATGATATTTGATATACCATACTCCCATATAGCTTCTTTGTCATTTCCAGAGTGCAAAAGGATCATATCGAATCCATATCGCAACTCGTTTTTTTTTGTTTTGTTTTTGTTTTTTTGACAGAGAGGGTCAAAATTCCATATCAAATCCTTAATTGAAGAAACATAGTTCTTTCAAATACGGTGGAGTGAAATAAGGAAGTCATTTAACATGTTTAAGTACCATACTGATTATATTGAACTCGTACACAACTACAAAACCTGTATCAGTCTCGGCTTATGCCTCATCTAATATAGGTTTGGCAGCTGTGTACTCGTCCAATAAAATTCAGTATTGTATTCAACAATTAACCTCATAGTATCAACAACTCTCTGATGCTTACAATAAATAATAGTCGTGTTGCTTGAAATGTAAGGTACCTGTATATATTCAGAACAATGCACAACTTTATAACGAAGTGATTTATTACCATCACATTTCCCTGTATTTTCTGCTTCAAAAATATTATACAATTATAGAATCTATATATAGTTTTCGGATCTATTATTTTGCTAATTATTAAACAGTTATAATGACCGAGAACGATATAAACTTTATCAGGTCAGCAAAACTAGATATTGCATGACCAAATCATATAAGCCTATGATCATTAAATCGAATCAATCGGAGCATCTTTGCTTTCATTCGGAACTGCCTCAGCTATTATCTATAATAACCTTATCCGAAGACTGACGGAAAGGGCCGAGTAGTTGCGATTGCTCTGCTTTTATTCATATCCAAAGTTTGATGAAAGAACCGGAGAGATGCGGTTGATATAGAATAACATTGGCTATGTCTTCGAGCAGATTCATGACGTCACCACAAATTAGCCAATCAGAAGGGCTTTTATAAACGGTATAAGATATGATACAATTATTGATTAGTTCAGCAATTAAATATCATACAGTTATTGACTAATCATCCATTGAATATGATGTGGTATTAACCAGTAGAATGTCATTTTCGCATTTGCGAATATAATTAATTATTTGTTCTGTTGACGACTCCTGGACTAATGAGATCACAGCTATTTCAAATCGTATGATGATAATTATTAGCAACCATTAAATGAATCAAATACGTTGGCAACATTGAATATTCATTTGCTTGTGCAACTTACCCGCTTTGATGTTTTATTCAACACATAATAATGGTTTGCCGTTTGACAAAATCTCCCGACCATATGTCCTTTATTTCAATTGAATACATGTCTCAACGAGTCTTTATAGACCAAGCAACAGTATTGTTGTTGCCACTATACATTAATGCCCATACATAATGGTTTTTAACAGATTAATGGTTTGCTAAAATAATAATTATCTACTATTCAATCACACATCCTTCTTTCATCATCAAGTTTGCTTTTTCTTCGTTTTCACAAACTGCAGTAAATAAACTCTCTCGCGCGCACACGCACACAACCAAACACACGTGCACGCATGCACACATACATACATTTTCTATATATTATAGACCTACTGTCTATTTGAATTGTAACTTATCTCGCTTAATTACAGACATTTACATAAACACATTTAAATATTAGACATGTACTATTTTTGATATTTACATTCTTGCTTTCTTAAGAGACATCTATAAGTAAAGACATGATAGAAAAATATTATTAAATAAAAGCTATATAATGTACTTAAAACGTATAAAACATACTGCCTCTCACTTATGGGGTTATGTCGTCCTTGGTACTACTTGTTATACTCCCGAAAACCGCTTTATGATAAACTCGAAAACACACTTACGGCAAACTCGAAAACTGCTTATGTTAATTGTGGTAAACTCGAAAATTGCTTATGTCAATTGTGGTAAACTCGAAAACTGCTTTATGGTGAACTCGAAAATTGATTGATGGTAAACTCGAAAACTGCTTATCGTAAATTCGAAAACTGCTTATACACAGACACTTGGTGTTATGTGCATGGCTCCCCTTCTTGATCCGCACTTGTATACACCATGTCTATTTTTATCGTGCAAACCGTATATATTATTACGACCTGGTCACATGTCTTGAACATAAAACTTGTTTTCCGCTATTTTAACAACGTTTAAAAAAGTCCCTAAAATATCATAATTTCAAGAAATTGAAGCGTTGGTAAAAAAAAATGACTTTTTTAAAATGTTATGAAATTCTATTCAAACTTGTTCACGTGTTGGACACTTAACCGTCTCATACTAATATAAAAAAAATTGAAAACTAATTCTTGTAATAGATAATACTTTTAGTTTTTTATATTCTGGGGCGGAGAAGTGTCTGTGCTCGAAAACTGCTATATGGTAAAATCTAATTTCTTTTTAGATATAATTGTAAAAAATTTACAATAGATTTATGCAACTACACGTAACATATCTGGATTTCTAAAATCGATTCCGTTCATAATAATGTATGCATTACCTCAATGACTGAGTTTTAGTTGCATAGCTCACACCATATCATGTATATTCTATCTAAATATATACTACTTATCTTGCTATTGTCAATATTGTGTGCTTATATGTGCTGGATAAAGCCTTGTTCGATAAACTTAGCTATCTCCAGTCATTGCGTCACATGATTAAGCAATACGGATGAATATTATAAACGAAAATACTTTATGTTTCTGTTTAAGTTGTATGTTAATGTTACTTGTAGTCTACAATCTATAATATAAAAGAAAGAGAAAAAAACAATCAAAATGTTAAATGTTGAATTCTGCTTAAGCCGGTGCTAGGGGCGTGGACGGTAACTTGCACTTTCCAGTACCGTCCATGAACAGGCTCAATCAAACCGAGCCTACATTTTCATTTTTGCCGTGTTTGGCTTTCTTTTGGGATTCTGCTTTTCTCTTTTTTATTTTTTTTATTTATTTATATATTTTTTTGCTTAAAATTAATTTTTAGTATATGTGTATTTTTGCCATTTACAGAAATTACTCTTTATTATTTTTATGACGGAACAACATTTATAAAAGATATAGCGGTAATGTTTCACTGAGTTTATTGTCGGGTTCAAAATAAAGCCGCATTTCATCCTATGTGACAATTTCTCTCAGGCATCTAGAGTCTCGATCTTTGAACCTAGTCAATAAAGCCGAGGCTTTTTCAATCTGCTCCACTTTCTGGTTTGAAGTAAGTAAATCCTTAACTTATTTTTTTTCTTTCAAGATGGAAAACACTTATAAGGCCCTAGGGCCCGATGTGTTACTTTATCTCCTCCACTGTATACCTTGCATCTTCATCAACTGCTGATGTCTTTTTCAGAGGTAGTGGAAATTGGCCGCCCAGGGCGCGGATCATCCTTAACATTAGTTCTACCTCCCTTAAGCATTGACACCCACCTGGCAATTGTAAGATATGGAAAGGCAGTTTCTTCATAACTTAAATCTAGATCCGTTTTTATTTCTGAAGAGCATCTACCCAATAACACTATCAAATCACAATGCAACTCAGTCATGTTTACAACCAGTACATTAAACCAGTATTAAAAGACAAACTAAAATTTAATTGCACGAGCAAATCGTGCTGGTTAGAAAAATCAATAATCTTTCCAACGGTATATTATACATGAACCTTCACGTGCAAATCATGGTAAAAGTGAGTTATTGCCACATATTAAAATATGCCCTCATATTTCATCAGTGATTTGCATAAAAGCGAGGGCAATTAATCCGGCGCCAGGAAAATAATCTAATTCAATACAAGAATAAAAACAAGAATATTTGAAGTAAAATTTTTCATTAAGGTAACTAGGACTCCTCATTACAAACTATTAAACAGAAATTTATCAAACATGATTACATAATACATAATATGTTAACAATACGAATATAAAAGATATACATTTGAGCCGTGTCATGACAAAACCAACATAATGCATTTGCGACCAGCATGGATCCAGACCAGCCTGTGCATCCGCGCAGTCTGATCAGGATCCATGCTGTTCGCTATCAGTTTCTCTACTTGTAAAAGAGTTTGTAAGCGAACAGCATGGATCCTGATCAGACTGCGCGGATGCGCAGGCTGGTCTGGATCCATGCTGGTCGCAAACCCATGATGTTGGTTTTGTCATGACACGGCTCATTTATTGTTTTTGCATAAAAAAAAACTTTTAAGATATGGACGGATTATCACGAAGTAACAGTACTATCAATAATTAAGCAATCAATAATGTTAATTCAAAATACGAAAGTTAATTATTATTTATGACAGGTGATCATTTTATATGGGCTTTTGGCGAGCTGCCAAGGTTTTGTATCGGTCACCATGATTGTCACTGAAAGTGACGGAATCTGCCGAATTTTAACGAGTTTATTGTACAGGTTTTAAATGACATTAGCATAGTCTGGAAACAAGTACGTTAAAGAAAGCATGATTACTATCAACTATTTAAATTTCCAAACTTGAAATTCGTTGAAAATAAAGATTTCCGGAAAATAGTTAGCCTTTCCGAATCAGTTTTTGCAGCCTCCCCTGGAACACACATTTTCAAGCACTTTGTGAGCTTGTTTTACACCTTTAGAAGCGGCATGGTGAATCAATTGATGTGCCTCTCTGGAATTAGTAAATTTATATATATTCATAAGACTAAGAATTCAATAACATGATGAAAACGCATATGCTAAAACAAAGATAGTGTAATTGAAGGGGGTACATTAAATACGCAGTTACTTCAGATGAAGTTGCGAGACAGTCACATATAGAAAATCAGGGCTTCACTGCACGTAAATTACATATTTTCATACCGAGTGAATAAAGATAATGCAATATCAGTTCACTGTCCATTATCACCTTTAAAATGACCTTTTATTTCCTTTTCTTGTGCATTCATTTAGTTATAAGGTATTCCGTGACCGAGTGGTTAAAGTCACTCGTCGCTGTGGCACGACGTGGGATTCTTTCAGTCGAGGAAGCTATCTAGCTACAGACCGGAACGCCCGTTAGTACAGTCCCTGGGGACCGTTTGTGTGCAAAAAAGGTCCATGGATAAATGATATACCAATGTAAAGCTAAATGTTTGAAGTTTACAAAAAAATTGGGTAGACATGTCAAATCATGGTACGTTTTGAGAAATCCAAGATGGCCGCCAAGATGGCCGCCAAATTATTGAAAAATGGCTAATACGCAATTTATATGATAAAATTAGTTCTTTTTTGTATTTATTTTGGTACATGTGATGTTAAAACTTCACATCCTATTGGAACAATATGAAAATGGAGGCATTTCCATTATTTTTTTCATATACTCTGAATTTCATAGATAAATTTGCTAAAAAATGCATGAAAAAATTATCAAAAATTGATATGAGGCTGACATTTTTTCCTACCAGCTAAGGCATAGCGATGTAAATGAATATTTTTACCATATACTACAAAGACTTGAACAAGATCATACTAATATCACCCTTATTTTCTATCTTCATTGTAATAGAATGTAGATTCTGATATTCTTAAAGTGGGTGGGGTAACGAAAACTAAGTCTCAGTATTTTGTTAACTGGTTTGTTGTGATAATTAAAACTATGAATAGTCAACATGTATTGCACTTTGGCATGTACCTAAATTATAGATAATTAAGAAACTTAGACTGATATTTTGTTTATCAATATTCAACTTGTTCTGTTGCCATGGCAACGGAGAAGTAAAATGAAAGACATACCTGAAACGTATGACACTTTCAACTTTTAGCATTTTAAGCATGTTGTTAAGAATGACACAAACTTATAGATAAATAATCTGTGCACAATGCCATGGTAACAAATTGAAAAAAATGTAACATTAAAAGAAGTCACATTTAATTCTAGCACATTATCAAAACAGATAACAGCGGGCTGCCGATATTTTGAAATTAGATGAATAAATTTATTTCAAGAATTTGCATCATGCATTTGCTTTTTTCAAACTGCTATACATAGGAAAAGGTCATGTCAGATGTGAATGTTGTTATGTTGTTATGTTTGGAAAGGATAATTAATGGTGATAATAATAAGTAAAATTAATGGTGATAATAATAAGTAAAAGGCAGTCTTAAGGTAGAAATGTATATAAACATTATCAAATGTTTGAAACTGTACATAGGGTAAAAATTTAAGACTTTGCATCTAAAACGAGAAATAAATATGTCACTGGTTCAAATTCTAGGTCAACCAACATCATATTTTAATGACAATCGAATTTATTGTTGAGTTCAAACTTTTTGGTTGTAGCTTGTATTATGTAATTCTAACTTGCACTAGATAAAATTCCCGGGCAACTGATCTCAGTGTATAATTCTGCATCTGAAATTTTACAATCAAAATACAAAGAGGTCACTAGAACAGATTAAGGTCAGCTGGCATGTCATATTGTGTCTGTTATCCAAATTTCTTTAGCTTCAAAGCAAGAAGGTAAGTCACGAGGTCTTAAATTCTAGGTCACCTTATACCAGTGGGGCCACAATTCTTCCAACCAAATGGCCTTCCATTGTGGTTTCTGACAAAGAGTTTTTTATATAAAAATCTACATCTGGGCAGGGCCATTTTTATGCTCCCTGAAAAATTATGGGGGAGCATATAGTCGCCGGGCGTGTGTCCAAAACCTAGTCGAGGAGCATCACCTGGTTCAACCGGCTCTTGTTTTAATCCAGACTCATGATCATTATTTGATCCCTGCAAACTTAGCACTTTACGGAGAGTGTCGGATGTAAAAATCCAGGCGTCTCTTGTTCCACTGACAGCAATTGATCTCGGACATTGAGTTTTACGGTCATTTGTCTGTCAAAACAGTTAGTACCGTAGCTTAGTAGAAATTGTTCATTACTCTTCTGGCTATTTATCCATGAAAGTGAGATACTTTAACCAACCTTCAAGCTATCAACAAAGAAGTGTTGAAATTGGCGTATAACTCAGACCCGACCCTTTCATGATTTGAAGAAACATGGTAAAAGTCTTCTAGAAATTGTTTCACATGCTCTAAACAATGGGGTTAAAGGGATGATTTTATAAAGGATTTTATATATAAGTTTGACTATGTAAATCAATTGACCCTTGGGAAAGGTAATTATAATCAAACGGATCATGACTTTACCAAGCTTAGAAGTGTATTGTGTATTATTGCTATTATATGACTTATATCGTGACATAAATTGATATGGTCATAGAATGAATGCTTCACACTTAAATATCAAAGCATTTTATTTATGGAGAAGAAAGTTTTCAAAGCCTTTTCTTTATAACACAAAGTAAAATGACTTCTGGGGTTAGGGCAACTTTGACAAGATTGTCAAGATTTGAAAAATAAATTAAGGTTTTTTTGACAATGCTTTTAACCCAAAATCTAATCTGATCTGGGCATTTGGTTTTGGAAAAATATGATTTTAAAAAGTTTTCCTACGTGTCTCCATATGAAATAAGTTGACCCTAGGGGTGGGTTAAATTTTCATTTGAATAAATTTTTTACTGGTCTATACAAGGCTACAACAGAATTAATTAGCTATAGGCATCGGTTTGGGAGAAGTTATTTTTTTTAGCTTTTCTTATATGTAAATTGAAGTGACCCCTGGCATAAATGATTTTGACCACAAGGTCGTGATTTAAGCAAATTTAATAGTATTCTATACTAGGTCCTGCAGTTATGGAGAAGAATATTTTCATGTTTTTCCTATATTTACATTGTGTAAAGAAAGTTTACTCCGGGGCTTCGCAAGAAACATGAATGTGTACTTCTTGACCTTTTACCAACCATGACCTTGATGTTGTGTCATGCATATCATAAGCACATAGTCTCACGATGGCGAATATTTGTGCCAAGTTATTTAAAATCTTCCATAAAGTCAAAAAGTTATGGAGAACATATAACCTTGACCTTGGTTGCAGCGACCTGGATGTTGAGGTCTGTAGATTGTATCGTGGTGGGGATCATTGTGCTAAGTATTTTTAAAACCTTGGAATTGTCAATAAGTTATACAGCGGTCGTTGAGTTTGACCCTGACCTTCAGGGTTGTGCCTTGCTTATTGTGCTCTGCCAATGGTGTCATAATGTTGATCATTTCTGCCAATTCATCTTAAAAACATTTCAGAGGTTTAAAAGTTAGAGACAGACGCGAAATGTAGACTTTCTAACATATGAACTGTAAGTGTGACCCTGACCTTAAGGGTAGCATTTCAATTATTGCGATCTGCACATCGTCTCATAATGGTGATCAATTGTGCCAAGCTATTTAAACAAAATTTCATAGGTTTAAAAGTTGTGGAGGGGACACGAAATGTAGATTTTTATACATTTGACCTTGACCTTTGGTGTAGCAACCCAATGTTTGCGTTCTGCACATGTTCTTATACTGGTTATCAATTGTGCCAAGATGGTTTTTTTAATTTCAGCGGTTAAAATATTGGAGCGGACACGAAATGTAGACTTTTTAACATTTGACCTTAAAGTGTGACCTTGACCTTTCGTGTAGCAACCCAATTATTGCGCACTGCACGTCGTGTCGTAATGGTGATCCGTTGTGCCAAGTTATTTCAAAACTTTACAGCTTTAAAAAATTTATGGAGCGGACACGAAATGTAGACTTTTTATTATTAAATGAAGACTTTTAACATTTGACCTTAAAGTGTGACCTTGAACTTGGGGATAGCAACCCAATTATTGCGCTCTGCATATTGTCTCATTATGGTGATCACTTGTGCTAAGTTATTTCAAAAAAAATTCAGGGGTTAAAAAGTTATGGAGCGGACACGAAAGTGTTATGGACTGACGAACAGACAGACGGAGTCCATTCCTATAATCCCATTACCGCTACGCGGAGGCAATTAACAATGTTGGTTTAGTCCCATCTTAAAAAGCCATACATATAAAAGCTCAAGATCTTTTTATTTATTTCTGGGAATATTTGAAAACATTACACATTGTCATTTCTGTTTTTAACTTCCTTCTGTGACTAAGATATACAATAATCCGATTTGTGCAAAAAACAACAACAAAACAAAATTTCTGTCAAATGTTATCAAATATAGCCTATTTTACGTCACATTAACACTTTAAAAGGCTTTGTGGCGACTTTCCTGCTTTACTGAGGAAAGCCTAATATGTTTCCCTCCGTGCATAATTTCATAATATTGACACCCTCTGGTCATCTTTTAAGGCAAATCAGAATTACAAAGTATGTAAGAAAGTGAAATTTGGCTTATTCAAATAAAGAAAACAGTAAAATTAATTGTAAAATAAAGAAATCAAAGTCATATGTTCATCCTGATTCCAAATTCAAATACGTCCTGAACTTAATTTTAATTTGGAACACACTAGTGTTCATGTGCATTACATGCAACCGGACAATTTGAGAAATGCTGTTTTTCCTCATCTCCAATTACATTGAAACTATGGTTTTAAGACTGCACTTTTATAATTACTTATTTAAAACAGAAAGCTGATATGAATTTTGGATACGTTCAGCCGCGGGTTATTCCACATGATTTATTGACATTTATTGATGAGAAAATAACGAAACTGTAACAGTTGATTTGATTACCAATGTCTTTGAGATTTTATTTGAATGCTTACCTGTATATAGTTATAGCTTATTACTACGTGACGACAATTTACATACTTCTTTGTGTGAGTGGAACAAAAATCGCTCCTAAAGTTTTACAAACACATATTTTTCTTATTACTGGTAAAAACAGTCGAAAACAAAAGCAAAATCTATCATTACACCAAATTTATTTAGACAAGTGCCTTTCTGATATATATAACATGTTCAAATGCGTTAAAATCAACAAATTTATATCATAGTTATAAACTTTAAAAAAGAATACACGACATATAAATAAAATTTCAACAATTATACAAATCTAGACATGGCTATGTAAAACTATTTGCATATAAACATAATCTTAAATTCTATTCAACGTGATTTATAATAATATTATGAAAGAGACCGCCATCTTCTTAAATAGTCACATATTTCTAAAGAACGAAGTGAGACTGCGGTAACAAAAAAAAAATATTATTTACATATCGGAATTACTTATATTGTATAATTAATTTGAGACTTTTAAGTTTTAGTTTTGTGTACATTCTTCTGTAGCTTGTTCTTAATGTATACTGGAGTTCGTCCCTACTGTATAGGTAAAACAATTGAGATTCTATACAACGTTTCAGGGATTCTGTTTTTCTCTATTTTAATGTGTTTAAATGGAGGGTTGTTTTTGGTAATAAGACAAACTGCCATTTGATGAACAGTCCGGAGTTTGTTGATGATCATTTAAGACATACTGACCGTATAACAAAGCATTAGGTGGTTTGACCTGTAGGTCACAAAATAATTTATAAAGAATTTTGAGGTAACGGTGGAATATGGCCTATTTGTTTTGCGTAACAAGACATCTATACAGGATTTATAATTTATGCTGCTCTATATTTTTTAGAATAGAAGAAAGTGTCAAATTTCTAATACAAAATGGTGATTTTATCCATGTTTCTCCAACTGTTAAAATATTTCAGCTGGGCTTGTATTGCATTGAGATGAGAACACAATCATTTAGGTTTTCCAGATGCATCCATGGCACATTATCTTGAAGACGTCCTTCATCACAACATATTGACATATTGTCTATTCCTTCTTATCACATTTGATCTGTGGGATTTTTTTTTTGCGTTATTTGTTATTTATTATTATTATTTAATGACCAATAAATGAAGAATGGTGAAAAGTTTTTTTTCCCAAATCGGGCCAAACATCAAGCATAAATTTTATTTTTCAATATAACTCTGAGTAGATTTCATTATCATCTTTTGCCTCTAAAACTTTAAGCGTTTTTATTGTTACAGTAACGGTTCAGCAAAATGTTACCGATGTTTTAATTCAAATTTGTGTTTTTTCGTGGAAAGTAAATATAGTGAAATTTGAAATGATTTTTTTTTATGTTTCAAATGTATCCAACTCTGAATTCTGTAATGCATAATCATGACATTAACTTCTACAACATGCTTGAAATGATAAAACCTAAAGCCTCATACGTTTCCGGGTTTCTCTCATTTAACCACTTTGTTGCCATGGCAACAGAACCAATTAATGTTGTTGGTAGAATAAAAATCTACCTTTTAGAAAATTAAAGACTTAAGAACATTTTAAAATGTAATCTTGTTGATTATTCTTAGTCTTAATAATCGTTATATATCAGTTCACTAGAAATTGGGACTCAATTTTCGTGTACCCCACCCACTTTAGGAATGTCAGAATTCACATTCTTACACAATAAAAATTAAAATAAGGGTACAATTAGTAAGTTGTTGATAAGGTCTTTGTATAATATGGTAAAAATATTAGTTTTCACCACTATGTCTCGACTGATAGGAAAAAATGCCAGCCCCATGTCGATTTTTGTTACTTTTTCATGCTTTTTTAGCAAAATTTCTCTATGAAAACAAGAGTATATGCATAAGAAAAAGGAAAAGGACCCTTTTTCATATTTTTCCAATAGTATGTGAAGTTTTAACATCACCTGCACCAAAATAAATACAAAAAGAACTAATTTTATCATATAAATTGCGTATTAGCCATTTTTCAATAATTTGGCGGCCATCTTGGCGGCCATCTTGGATTTCTCAAAACGTACCATGATTTGACATGTCTACCCAAATTTTTTGTAAACTTCAAACATTTAGCTTTACATTGGTATATCATTTATCCATGGACCTTTTTTGCACACAAAAGGTCCCCAGGGACTGTACTACGTGGTTCTTTCTTTACCCGTCAAGCTGGAAAGCCGTCACACGACCTACACAGTGTTGGAGCGACTTTAATTAAACCCAACCAAAAAAAATCACAATGCATATTTTTCACGCTCCGGGTTTGAGATTATTAAAATGGATAGTGCAATGTAGCGAAGTTTAATATACTTTTAAAAAAAGTCAACAAAGAAACTTAACCCAGGTTTTAGATCTGTCTTCATGCCTTTGAGATGTCCGATTGCCAAGTTGTAAGAGGCGTGGGCGTGTCCTTGGTCCGCGGCTTTCCTGGAATATAGCAACAGTATACATCAATTCCAGACACAAGCTCAACAACTTTTTTATGTTATCCATTATTTATTCGATAGTTATAAATGTTCAACAAAAACCGCCCAGTTAGCCCGGTAGGTATATAGACGTTTGACATTGAATTGGGCGACCCGGACTCGATTCCTGGACGGTGCAAGTCATTTTCATTGTCACTGATCATGAAATCCTTTCAACGGTCATTTGCACTGTAACTCGGCTCTGACATGTACAGAAGTTATCAGTTTCATGTGAAAATAAAGTCACTTGTACTGATGAACTACTTCATAGCCTGCCCAGAAACGATACGGTGGCCTAACAGGACTCTGGTGAATTTAAAGTGGCTTACTGCCTCTTACTGCCGGAGGAGGGGTAAATTACTAACACCATCATCACCTCCAGCAAATTTTCGATCACGATTTCAATTACTTTAACTGGTTTTTGAAACTGTATATAATTAATACAAATCAAAACAAACACAACTTTATTTATATGCACGCAACCAAGAGAGCTACAGCACATGTGTAAGAACATATGAGCCGCGTCATGACAAAACCAACATAATGGGTTTGCGACCAGCATGGATCCAGACCAGCCTGCGCATCCGCGCAGTCTGATCAGGATCCATGCTGTTCGCTTACAGACCCTATAACAAGTAAGGAAACTGATAGCGAACAGCATGGATCCTGATCAGACTGCGCAGATGCGCAGGCTGGTCTGGATCCATGCTGGTCGCAAACCCATTATGTTGGTTTTGTCGTGACACGGCTCATATGTATTTCAAATTGATATCAGTTTGTGTTTTAATCACAAATTATCCAGTAAGGTTACATTTTTTTCATCAGTAATTTTCTAAAATTTTCTAAGCCTACATACAACACTCAGGGCGAAGATTTTGCCTTATATACGTTGGTTTGATGGGGTAATATCTAATGACAAATTGGTTAAGATTAAATGAATTTTAAGTTTCAAAAGAGAAAGGTAACATCAATGGCCAATAGGTTATTTCAACCCTTACAGTCTTCATTACTAAATGATTACAACAACAAATCTAGAGAATTGGCATAAATGTAAAATTTTGTTCTTTGTTAAATAGCAATGTCGGTTATTGTTTAATTAACATAAGAATTGCTTATCCGATCACTCTTATCAAATCTATCTAATGAAAACATTTCGCAATGTTTAACTTTATAAAAAAAATACTTTATAAATTCGTTTCAAAATTCGCATTTTGAATATACAACGAAAATATGAAATATTTAATTTACCTAAACCATTCCATGGCTTTCTCGTGATGTTTTTCTACCCCTTTTCCTGAAACAAAAGAATCACTGAAGTTAGTTTCACATATATTTTTAATATAAAGCAGATAAATAATTAAATGCATGAAAAATACAACTATATATCCGGAGGTGGCCATGATTTGTTACCATAAGCACTTTCTCATTGCTTTTTTAATACAAAATATTTTCTAAAATTTTGAATTTTCTATGTTGTAGAAAATTTTGCAGATACACTGTACATTAAATTTATTTTGATATCTATATCATGGTGCTATTTTGATGCACTATATACATGTAATTACTTAAAAAATAAATTTTTATGTTTAAGAAATTTTTGCCGATACCCTGTACACGAAATTTATTTCGATATTTAAAAAAATATACGATTTTTTTCTTTCTCTGCGGACACATAACAAAACTTTGTAAAATTTAGGATACCCGACGACAATTTTATTTTATGTAAACACGTAATCTTTCTTACGTGTGCGACTTCCACCTAAAAGTAAGTAAGTCGACAGATTTATACTGATCTTAAATGGGTTTTTTTTATTAATAATTAATTATTAAAACTATTTTTCATGTTTCCAAATCGGCTCTCAATGAAAAATAAACTGAATGGATAGACCAAAATGGAGCGGATTTTAAATGCTTAGAAAGGAGTATGGTAAATGTATACAGCTCCAGTAAAAAAGAGCAACAGAAATGGTATACCATACCATGAAGATATCGTTGTCCAACCTGGTGTTGAGCTGCAGGGTAACCAAGGTGTGCGTATGCGTGTGTCACGTGGAAATGGAGGTTGTCAAAATAAAAATAGGCATAAAATGCAAACACTATCGTGGCACATAAAGCAAAACCCTGGAAAAGAAAGGAAACAACATTTTTAAAGATAGATATCATTATTTAACACCTTGTGAGCTTCCAGTTCTTGCACTATGTGATCTCCATTTATTATTATTATTATTATCATTATTTTTATTATTATCTTTCTCATTATTATTATCATTATTATTATCATCATCATCATCACCATCTATGTTTATCCCTACACTCCTGTTAAGCACTTTACATGTATTGGTATACGATTTAACACTCACACATTTTCAATAGATCTCCAAACTATACATTTATATGATACAATGCGATCTAAAAGCACTGTTGATTTCAAGTGTTTTCTTAAAGTCAACGTGTCTTCTCCGGTCTGAAAACATAGTGTTAAAAACAATACTGATTCCATTGGATTCGCACACAGCTGCAAAATCTATATTGGACGAGCCGCCGGGAAGTCATCCAATATAACTTAGTGTTGTACCAAACGATTAATAATTACCTCATATCACGCCGCATGAATATGAAATTTGTAAAATAATTTACTGGCTTGGATTTTTTCATACAAATGATAACAAAATTTTGGCCGTTGTGGATGTTCTTGTTTTTCAATAGTTCAACAGAGAGATAAATGCTGTTAATCTAAATGCAAAAATCGGTAAGCCTATTTCTTCGAATGTCCGGGTCAAACATGGTTTATATCGTTATGATGTAACAGCGAACGTAAAAAGATATATTTGGTCAATTCAAAACAAAGGGGGAAAAATAAAAGTCAATATTTGAAGCATAGATCTACATGCTTTAAATAAGTCGCTGAATTGAATTTTAGCAGCCACCCACTATGATAGGCCTACATTACACGTAGTAACATTGAGTACTGGAGTTATTTTTTTTTATATATATATCTAACGATTTCATAATAACCCTTCATTTTAAAACATGCGTAAGAATTGGTAAGAATTCATTGCTTGATTTTCTTTTTGAATTAAATTAAAAACTAACGCTAAAATTACTTTATTTTTCAGCATTAAAAAGTTCTGCATCAAAACCTGTCTCAACATTGGAAATAAGCACTAAACATACATGTATTTCTATATTATATCTAAGAACTGAATAATGGATGAGGTGTATCGATAAAAAGCCAACAATCAATGACATTACGACTTAAAACCAATAAAAACAGTGGAACGAGTTAGGATACGGGACAAATTATTGATTTCTAGCCGCAAGGTAGCATGAATGAATCGATGTATCACAATTCTACCCGATATAATTTATATCTCTAAATTTATACAGTGGACATCGCGTATTCTCAGTATTCTACACGTATTCTAAACTAGGCTAAATCTCTACAAAATCTTCTAATATCAAAATTTTGATAACAGGTCTATTTTTCATGTGTCAATTATAGAATCTACCAGTTAAAGTATCTTCCAATGCTAGCAAGCATCAATGAACTTCGGGGTTCTATAATTGCGTTGCTTATACTACCTAATTATTAAAGCGTGATCAACCTAGAGTGCAGTAGATCTAGGCCTACTTAGATTCAACTAAATGAAAACTTCTTAATACCGAACCTACAATATATAAGTCTAAACGAGTTTAGTAGTATTTTTAAAATAAACATAGAATGTAACATGTGGCCATCTAGAACTATTTATAGATCGAGAGTAGAGATATGCAGTTTGATTACCTCGACAGCCCTCACGTGTGGCGGGTCAGGTTTTTTCTTTCTTGCCAAATAGACCTTTCCCCCGTACGGCTGTTCACTGTCCCATTCGGAATTAGTGTCCGGCACGTACCGCTGTCGTAATCCCGAAGAATCACTCTCCGTTGTAATTCCACTATCCATTGCAGCCGCCATTTTGTAAACAATGATACTATACCACGTAGAGGGACGCTGACGTGTCGTCAAGGAAACTGCAGGTGCCCGTTTCGTTTGGCGCGAAAAATCATGTGAGCTTGTATGAAAGAAAATGCAGGATATAAATGCCTACAGATTTAATTAAAACTGACATAATTATTTTTTGCTTTATATATATATGAGGAAATGTAGTTATGTTGGTATTTAAACGCACAGGGTTACATTCTATCGGCTATAAGATCCCTAGATCTATCTATTCCTTTTCCCCTTTTTAATTTTGATGTTCACTTTAACATTTTGTTTCATTCTCAAGTTGAGCTGAATTGATTATATATTTCATACGATTGTCTGTTGTAATGGTGATTTACCAACGATTGATATCGGAAAATGTTTAGGATGAAATATAAATTTCCCTAAAATATAAAAAGACTGTCCCACTCTTTTTATAAATTGAACGTTACTGGTAACTTTGAAGTTTCAATGGATATTTTTTAGAAATTTCATTGGCCACAATGGTTTGTGCAAAGTGAATAATAATATTGAAAGAAACCATGTCAAAATGTAAACTTATTTTGACTTTCACCCTTTTACATACTATATACCCTTAGATGGGTATAATGTCACTTTAAAAAGAAGTTGATCTTTTGTTGGGGGAACGTTTTACATTCTGCCATCTCACTAGTTTATTAAGCAAACAGTGTCTGTGTCGGTTATTAAACAGCTTTCAGTGATTTAATGATAAGAATACCAACATAACGTTAACGTGACTGTACAGAGCTTTTGCTTTTTAAATAGAGGATATTGAATGAGTGTAAGTTCAATACTGAATTTATTGCACGAGTTGAATAAAAATTCAGTAATTCTATTTATCTCATACCAAAAATAAAGACCGTTTAAAGTGAAAAAAAGAATCATTTTTCATTGACGCGCCTATAGTATAACGCTCACATTTAGCGTGTCTATAAACTACGTTTGTATAACGCTAATGACGTCACGTCAAAATATATGCACGGCCGTGCAATACCATTGTACAGAGTCGCAAATTCGGCAAGAATAGATCGCCAGTTACAGCTTTACGGCCTTTTGAATTAGTTTTAATCTATAAATTCGAGTTCGCATTTGTGATGTTTGACGATTTAGTTCGAGACATCTAATTTAAAAAAAACACCATATAATTATGTTTAATTCTAATTCTGACGGAAAACGTTTCTGTTAAATATTCATGGAATTTACGGAGACACGACAGCAATTATTCCCTTGAAAATAACTATCACAACATCCATATTTGCAATATAAACTGTCATTTAACCAGATAGGTTTTAAACTTGCTGCGATAGTTTGTGAATTACTATTGATGATCATCTTTATATGCCAATACCGAGTTAAGTGGCACTCGTTTTGTCGTTAGATTTCCAACCAATTTTCTACGGTCATTCACTCTGTACCTCTGCTCTGATATGTACAGAAGTTATCAGTTCCTTCCGAAATTGGAGGCAACTAGTACTGGTAAACTGCTTGACAGCCTTCCCAGGAACGATGCGGCGGCTTAACTGTGCTCTGGTAAATTCAATGTGATTTACTGCCGTGATCGAATAGTCGAGCTTGAAAACTACCAACACCACCACCAGTCCTGCCGGCCCATTAAGGCTCCGAGTTTGGCAATGTGTTTTCAAGCAAAACATCGGGAGTTGAAAAGAAAGTTGTTTATTGTGGGTTTTTTTCATGGGTATTGAAGGAACTTGATCCGTACCTGTAGGACTTGGTATCTTTTTTGAAGATGTCAGAATAATAAAAGTCAACTAAGACAAGGTTGGAACCTTAGATAAGTAAAATACAATACAGGGCCACATTCAGTGACATAAGATAAAAAAGAAAACAAGAATGAAACGTTTACTATTTTATTCATATATAGTTTTTATACTTTACCAATGCATAGATAGTGAGAAATACTTTGCATATTTTATAAAAATTACAACTACACAGATGATTTTCTTGCTACCCTAGGAAACATAACAAAATCTGAAAAATATATTTCGCATTTAGAGATTAATTGACCTAAAAATTGAAACCGAGTATCTATCAGGAGTCATAAACCATAAATATATGAAACATCCTAAAGAAAATAATGTTACAATGAAACTACAGCCAAACCTGTGAACAATGGCCATCCATGGGACAGACTGAATATAGCCTTTAAAGACAAGTGGTCTTTTGTTGGAGGTAACTCTTATATTTAATCAATGAAAGATTTGTGAAGATAAATGCAGGGCCATCTATATTCAAATATGGTCTTTAACACAGATTAGACTGTAAATACATGGCAGATTATAAAATTTGCATTGTGTTGGTACAATCTTTTCATAAAATATTGCATCTTTTCTAAACATAAATCATCATTACATGTATTTTCACTTAGATAGTTAATAAATAATACAATAAGAAAATAAATGCAAAGGCAAAAATATTATACCCTTTAAAATCAAGTTTTGGTTGTCTTTTATTCTGTCTATTTAAATGGAATGTTTATATTATTTACTTTTTTTATTTACTTACTCTGATGTTTAATTCCATTTTAAATCAAACTGTGTTAAAAATCAGGAAATTTTCAGTGGGTAAAATATATCTTTTTAAGATCAAAGCAAGCATAGTATTAAAGTGCAGTCAAGAAGTATATGCCTACAATAGAATACAAGTCAGGAAAAACACAGATGTATAAGACAAGGACATAAATACAGAATAAAAGCTTAATGTTACTATACGACATAAAAAGAAATGAACTATGTACAACAGGAATTATGAGAGAAACAGAAAAAAGAACACTGGACATTTTGGGCGGTACAATTAGCCATGCTAAACTTTTTTCTAAGAAAGGTGATAATGTATACACTATTTGACAATTATAGAACCTAGTCTGTCTAAACTTCTGTACAAGTTATGACGAGACTGTAATGTTCATTTGTTTAATTTTCAAAATATTAATATTATTCGCTTACCAACTCTACACAACTGCGCAGTCTGACCAGGATCCATGCTGTTCGCTTACCGAGCCTATTACAAGTAGAGAAACTGATAGCAAACAGCATAGATCCTGATCAGACTGCGCGGATGCGCAGGCTGGTCTGGATCCATGCTGATCGCAAACGCACTATGTTGGTTTTGTCGTGACGCGGCACAAATTTATTTTAGTTCAATTGTGTTGAAAGCTTATTTAAACACTCTCAAGCAATATTTCAGGTAAGGTGTATCTCAGCAGAAGTAAAGTTCCCAAAGCTAGCATGATATGGAATAGAGATTATGAATTTACCTTTGCTTTTAGTACACAGCCTGATCGGCTTAAATATTCTAGAAGTCAGTCAAGACTCTACACTGTTAATCTACTCCTTAAATTTCACTTTTTGACAATGTATTTCACCAATATAACAAGTACAGTACAATGTAAGTCCATTTACATAATGTAAGCAAGGCTAAAGGTTAACATAGTGTCTCATGAAGTTTTCTTAGACCATATGTCTACATGTACAACAAAAGTGTAGAAGAAAGCACAGAAAATGACATCACAGAAAATGACATACAAAGATAATAGCTAGATAATCCAATATAAAAAATCTTTTAAAAATATCTTTTAAAGCAACACATCTCCCGATTCTTGCAAATTTTAATGAAAAATTTGGAAAGAGTTCAAAATATAATATCTTTTTTATATTAGTAAGTGATAAAATAAAGAAATTAAAAAGCTTTACTAGGGGACTTACTACGTTTATTTTTTAAATCAAATTTTGTGCCCAAAAAACAATTTAATTGGCCTATGAATAAGGAATAGCTATACATTTCTTATTTTCATTAATCATTATATACACATGTATATATTTTAAAACTTCCAATAGTTTTTTTCCTCCTGAATGAAATAATTCATTTTTATAATCTGGAGGTGTGTAGCTTTAAAGCAAAAAATACTGGTTATATTCCATACAATAACTGCACATTCAACAATGGAATAATAATAATAAAAAAATGCTAATAAAAATGCACTCAAGTCTCAAGATATTTCAATCTCTAAACTTCAAATGAAATGCTTTTTATAAATAAAATCATGTTTCATGACAAATTCATTTTATAGATATATTTACATTGCTTACAAATACATTTTTAAAATGGCCTCATATTTACAGTTTACTTCTATCTACATAAAAATATCATAGTTATAAACCAATATTCATGCTTTTTAAACAATGCCTCAAAAAGGGTTCTTTGAAAAGGTGAGGCAGTAGGAAAAAAAAAAAAACAACACTTAACTAATATTAGTTATTCAAGAGCTGTTGGTAGGACAGCGTGCTTGGCTATTCTCAGTACTTGATAGAAAATTTTACATTATCCAGGTTGTTGTTTTACTAAGTTCAAAAGGGGCCATAATTCTGTCAAAATCCATGTTGGAACTTGGACAGTGACCTCCTATCATTCTCTTTAATAAGTGTGTGTGAAGTTTCAACCCATTCCCTTCAGTAGTTTTGGAGATACCAACTTGCACTCAAAAACATAACTGTGATGGCAACACCAACACAATGTTGAGTACAACAGCCCTCCCTATTCTCCAAGTAGTCAAGCTTAAAATGGGTCTGATTTTGTCAACAAAGTTATGTACTCTTGCAATAAAGCAGAAAGTAATGGTCATAATTTGATATTCTGACTTTGAGGATTGTAGCTCTTAGGGTTGGTACAAAAAACTTAACCAAGATGTGACATGGTCTGACATAGTTGCAGGCACCCATGTGGTATGACAGATCTACATTTAGATAGAGATATCTGTATTATTATTGAGATAAAAACTGAAAAAACAACATATTTTGCCCAGCACTGAAGACACTATAAATGCATACATAATGGGTTTGCGACCAACATGGATCCAGACCAGCATGCGCATCTGCACAGTCTGATCAGGATCCATGCTGTTCGCTATCAGTTTCTGCGGATGCGCAGGCTGGTCTGGATCTATGCTGGTCACAAACCCATTATGTTGGTTTTGTCGTGATGCTGCTCATATTAAAATTTATCAATGGCAGTCAAATATCCTTTGGACGGATTAAAGGAATCCAGAAACACCAGTCCAAACATAAAATAAAACAACACTGCAGTAAACTGCCACTTATACTCAATGATTTACACTTGTATAGGTTAAAATCTTTGTTAAAATAATGATACATACAAAAACAAATTTTGACATTGAACACATTAATTTTAAAAGAACTAGAACTGCCACTATCATGGCGTGAATACCCCCGCATACCACTTTGTCAGAATCAACAGTGGCCATTTAGAGCTCAAGGACAACCTCCCTGCCAAATCTGAGGTTACTAAGCCAGTGCATTGCTAAGTTATGTATTCTACATGCTTCAAATGTGAAAATGTCAAAATCAATACATTGCGGACAGGACATTCTTAAGCAATTGAGAAGAAAAGCTTTTTTTGTCAAGGTCTCTGTGACCTTGACCTTTGACCCAGTGACCTCAAAATCAATAACCCACCTTATAGTCATGATCAACATTCATACCAAATATGAAGACTGTGGGTCAAAGGAATCTTAAGTTAATGGGTGGACAAACTTTTTGAAGTCAAAGTCCCTATGACCTTGACCTTTGATCCAGTGACCTCAAAATCAAAAGGGGTCATCTACTAATCATGACTAACCTCCATGCCAAATATGACGACTGTAGGTCAAAGGAATCTTAAGTTATTAGGCGGACAAGCTTTTTGAAGTCAAGGCCCCTGTGACCTTGACCTTTGACCTGGTGACCTGAAAATCAATAGGGGTCATCCACTAATCATGACTAACATCCATGCCAAATATGAAGACTGTAGGTCAAAGGAATCTTAAGTTATTGGGTGGACAAGCTTTTTGAAGTCAAGGCCCCTGTGACCTTGACCTTTGACCTAGTGACCTCAAAATCAATAGGGGTCATCTACTAATCATGACTAACCTCCATGCCAAATATGACGACTGTAGGTCAAAGGAATCTTAAGTTATTGGGCAGACAAGCTTTTTGAAGTCAAGGCCCCTGTGACCTTGACCTTTGACCTGGTGACCTCAAAATCAATAGGGGTCATCTACTAATCATGACTAACCTCCATGCCAAATATGAAGACTAAGGGTCAAAGGAATCTTAAGTTATTGGGCGGACAAGCTTTTTGAAGTCAAGGCCCCTGTAACCTTGACCTTTGACCTCAAAATCAATAGGGGTCATCTACTAATCATGACTAACCTCCATGCCAAATATGACGACTGTAGGTCAAAGGAATCTTAAGTTATTGGGTGGACAAGCTTTTTGAAGTAAAGGCCCCTGTGACCTTGACCTTTGACCTGGTGACCTCAAAATCAATAGGGGTCATCTACTTATCATGACTAACCTCCATGCCAAATATGAAGACTAAGGGTCAAAGGAATCTTAAGTTATTGGGCGGACAAGAAAAAACCGACGGACGGACGGCCGGACGGACAGCTGGACGGACGGACAAGCTGATTCCAGTATACCCCTCTTACAACTTTGTTGTGCGGGGGTATAATTATGTCCATAAGAGACACGGATGCCCCCTGCTATATGACACTTCACCTCAAGTGCACCATTGATCTTGGTGTTGCGCAAGAAAGCTCCCACTGACCCTGTTGAAGAAATCTGCCAAATATTTTGACAATCCATAAAGAAATGACAAAGTTATTAGCCAGACAGGATTTGACCTTTGACTAGCAAGTATGACCTAAACTTTGAAGGTGCTTGCACACAACACATCACCATCTTATGGTGAACATCTGTACCAATTTCTTTTGAAACTCATCATGCATGAAAAAGTTAGAGACCAAACTCAAGCTGCACTAAAGACTATGTGACAAAACAGTAAGTTCAATCTCTAGCTCAGTGTGACCTTGAACTTTGACCTTGTTTGTGATGCATCAACCTGGACAAAATCCCCAACTGCACTTAGGACTGTATGACCTATACACTAAAGTCCAATTCCCTGCTATGACCCTGACCTTTGAGCAAGGGACCTTTTTCTTGCATAAAACACATGCTTTACTTATTGTGGTTGTGTGCACAAATTATTTTAATGTCCCATCATGCATGTAGAAGTTATGGAGTAGACATTAAGTATGTTTTTTTTTTAACACAATGACAAAGACAAGGGTAACACTATATGCCCCCTTTCCCACCATTTTATAGCAGGGGGCATAAAAAAAATATTGCCATGATGAACACACATTATTTTCTTTTACGTTTAAGGCATCATATTGGCATATGACAAAATGTTTTGCATGCTTGCATTCTTTTCTTTTCTCGCATTCTTTTCTTTTCTATTCCAATAGCATCAGTCCTCTCCTGCAAAACAGCACTTCCTCTAGTTGTACTAGTAAGTCTAAAATGTTCAAACTAATAAAGCTGCCTATTTCGTTTTCTTTGTAGCGGTACCAATATTGCATTGATTCACCTGGGAAAAAAAGAAGAGACAATACAATGATGTTTAATTCATGTGGTTATCATAAATAAAATCACATGCATGGTACAGCAATTGATTTTTTTTTTTCAATGTACTGTCAAACAAATAACAGGTATCGCCTTTTACTGGACCTATTACCAAAACAAAACTACACACACACTTTTTATAAATCCACCCAGTACCTATGATCAAATATTAAATTTATTATACAATACAAAATGAAGTAACGAAATGGTGGTGTTAAGGTATTAACATTTCTGCTGCCATGGCTGTAATTATGAGCCATTCCCCAGAATGACATGTTTTACTATAGAAGATGGATACTTATTTTTCACTATCTCAAACCAAAATGATGATAAAAATGACCACAAAAATAGATCAGATGCCATACTTTAAATCCCAAAGATTCTTAAATTTCCACTTTTAGGTGAATACATGATAATGCCATTGGGACAGGTTTACTCTTATTTTGCAGACAGTGATAAAGGTTTACTAGAAATGTGTCCATAGGACACGGATGCCCCCATACGCCACTGTTCTGTAAATCTTATGACTCTAGGTCAAATATTTTTTGGACTACATGTGCCACAAGTTGAAAACTAAAAATCAACAAAGGGCCATAATTCTGTTAACTCTGGTCGCAGCAAAAATTCCTTCCTTTACTACCATCTACACATTAAGGTTGTTCATCCCTGTAAGTTTAAGCAAAATCTGCCATCCGGTTTAAGAGGAGTTGCGTTCACAAGATTTCGGGACGTATGGACAGACCGACGTACGGGCGGACAAGTGCAACGCTATATGCTGGGGGCATAACAAAAACTTCTACAGAAAAATTATACAGTCATCACAATATCTCTATTTGGGATATAGGCCCGTGACCCCATACGGTATCTGATCATAATTTATAAAGTATAATCTTACTTTTGTAGCAAATCTCAACGAGTTCAATGTTTCCGAGAAGTTTTCCTCACGAGGTGAAACATTCACAAACATGAGGGTCTTACTATTGCCACCTAACGAGTTCTGTAACAGGTACGTCAATTTGCTGTTTCTATAAGGAATGTGGCTTTCCTGAAAATGAAATCTCAATTGTAATTAAATTTTACAATAAACTTTAAAGTAGAATACAGATTAATTTTATCTTTATTGAAAATTTACTTTGCTTGTTTGTTTGTTTCATTTTACGCCTTTTCCCAACAGTATTTCAGTCATATAGGCGGATGAAAATTTATACATTGAAAATTTATACATTGTTTAAATTTGTTAAAATTTTGTTAAGTGAATGAATAAAAGAAGTTAAAGAGCTCAACTGCAGTCAAAAAGCCAAAAAACATACAATTTAGAATTGGAAAAAAACGGACAAGGAATAACATACTCGACATCAAATTGAAATTTTTTAATGTTTTTGTATGATTCTTGCCCATATTTGAATGAAAAGCATTGCAACTTTTCATTTTTTGGATCATTTTATACATAATTTCTAGTCCCATGTTAAAAATCCCCCAGTGGAGTCCCTTTAACTTATCCTACCCCATTAACTGTCTGCAGGGCTTTTTTCTCATAAAGTTTGTATAGGCCTTGGCCTTCCTGATATGTTAAAATCATGCATGATTTTTCTTGAAATTTTCAAGTTTTTTTTTCCATGTGAAAATGGAAACGTGATATAGAAACTTATGCAAAAAAAACCCAAACAATTTGCCACTCAGATTCTTCCTTTTATTTGGGAAAAAAAAGCATTGAGATATTTTAAGATAAGGGGAGACAATTCTAAATATAGCTTTGAAATTTTATTGTCATAGTGTTTCCATGCAATATACAAAGACATTTCCTATTGTGATTGTGGTATTTCTTCAGTTTTAAAGTTGGCATTTTTCAACTGAGACATATATATCATTCATTTTATGTTCCTGTATTTTATTGTTGTTTTTTTCCATTCCAAAATCAAATTTCCATTCCAAAATCAGATTAGGTTTCAATATTTTTCTTTTACATTTCTGTTAAAAACAAACAATGTTTGGACATACCTTGTTGCCGAGTGCCATGATGACATTTCCCAGGTTAGATAAACTTTTATTTATACACTGTGTTTCCTTCAATCTCTGACCAGTGGCTCCTGAGTCCTTTAATCTTTCACTTCCGGCTAAATCCACCAGATTTAGAGTGCCTGTAGTAAATATGCAAATTATAAGTTTTTTTTCATTTTTAAGTGGCTGCATGGCTGAGAAGTTAACCTGTCGGTCTAGTAATCTAATGATTGCAAGCCGCATGGGTTCTAAAAACCTATTAAGAGCAAGTTGTTGTTTCCTTGAGCAGGAAAATTGAAACACTCATTCCTCTGTACTGGTTGATATAGGAACAGAATCGAAAGTGTTACTATAAGATTATAGCTTCCTACACAATCAAACTGAAATAAATTCTGTATAAACCAATCAGTTTTCATTTTATGATCCGAAATTTACCTGTGTGAGGGTAATTTGTCTTTAACCATTTAAAAACAAAGTGTTGTGTTTTTTTTTACTTGAGTGGAATACCATACATTAAATAAACTTTATTTAACCAGACTTATAAACACACATTGCTTGCATTTAGCAAGAGGGCCATGATGGCCCTGAGGTCGCTCACCTGTATATAGGCCCCCGGAGCGGGGCCAGTTTAAACCCCAGGGCTTTTATTTGAACAAACTTGGAAGACACCCATCAATAGAAGATGTTTCATGATGTTAAGTTTTTACTACACACATACGAACTCTGCTCCCCCTCCCCCCCCCCCCCAGCGGGCCAATTTAAACCCAAGGGCTTTTATTTGAACAAATTTGGTAGACACCCACAAGAAGATGTTTCATGCTACCCATCTAACCTCTAGCTCATTGTGTTTTTTAAAAGAAGTTTTTTTTAAGTATTTACTTAAAAAATATAGTTAAAAACAATGACACCTCTGGGGCGGGGCCAGTTTTGACCCCAGGGCTTTTATTTGAACAAACTTTGTATACACTTACTAGAAGATGTTTCATGCTTAATATCTAAACTCTAGCTATTTGGGTTTTTTAAAAGAAGATTTTTTAAGTTTTTACTTATATATACACATATAGTTAAAAACAATGACACCTCTGGGGCGGGGCCAGTTTTGACCCAAGGGCTTTTATTTGAACAAACTTTGTAGACACTTACTAGAAGATGTTTCATGCTTAATATCTAAACTCTAGCTTTTTAGGTTTTTTCAAAGAAGATTTTTAAGTTTTTGCCATACACATATAAGGAAAATCAATGACCCCCGGGGCGGGGCCAATTTTGACTCCAGGGCTTTTATTTGAACAAACTTTGTAGACACTCACTAGAAGATGTTTCATGCTTAATATCTAAACTCTAGCTATTTGGTTTTTTTCAAAGAAGATTTTTTAAGTTTTTGCTATATACATAATAGGAAAATCAATGACCCCCGGGGCGGGGCCAATTTTGACCCCAGGGCTTTTATTTGAACAAACTTTGTAGACACCCATTAGAACATGTTTCATGCTAAATATCTTAGCTCTAGCTCTTTGGGTTCTTTAAAAGAAGATTTTTCAAGTTTTTACTATATACATATAGGGAAAATCAATGATCCCCTGGGGCGGGCCAATTTTGACCCCAGGGCTTTTATTTGAACAAACTTGGTAGACACTCACTAGAAGAGGTTTCATGCCAAATATCTAAGCTCTAGCTCTTTGGGTTTTTTAAAAGAAGATATTTAAAGATTTTTCTTTTGGTTGCCATGGCAACCAGAGTTCTGCATGGAATTAAATTCTTTGAACAATTTTTAAAGGTGACCACCAAAGAAACATTCCTGTGAAGTTTGGATTAAATTGGCTTAGTGGTTTATGAGGAGATGTCATTTAAAGTAAAAGTTTACGGACGGACGACGGATGGACGCCGGACGAAAAGCGATCACAAAAGCTCACCCTGTCACTTTGTGACAGGTAAGCTAAAAATAAAGTGAAATCTCATTTTGTAAACAAAATTATTTGCTTCAATACTTTTGTCGAGCATTTTTAAAATTAACCAATACTTCTTAAAAGAAAGTACTTGAAAATCAAGAGCTGTCAGTCCCACAGTGAGCTCTACTTCTCTATTACTCTCTTCACTAAGTAGTAAACATAAACCTAGATCACATTCTAAGACTACAGAGGAATAATACAGTGAAAATAAATGACCCGCATCACGACAAAACCAACATAGTGGGTTGTGACCAGCATGGATCCAGACCAGCCTGCCAATCCGCGCAGTCTGATCAGGATCCATGCTGTTCGCTATCAGTTTCTCTACTGTAATAGAGTTGGTAAGCGAACAGCATGGTTCCTGATCAGACTGCTCAGATGCGCAGGCTGGTCTGGATCCATGCTGGTCGCAAACCCACAATGTTGGTTTTGTCGTGAAGCGGCTCATGCTATAGATATCGATCTTGGTCAGTGCCACAATAGTGTTCAAATGAATACTTCAATTTTATGGTTTTCTGATTTTAGGATTTCAGTCACAATGGCATTGTAGTGGTCATATAGTGACTTTTCCACTTTACTTGTACAAGGTGGAGAAAAACATTAAGTTTTCCCTTTGTGCATTAGTGCAACCAAAAGAGGATAGTCGACTATGAACCACCAACCGTCCGTAAGCTAGTTGTACACTTCCTCAAACAAATGGAGGCTAAAGACCTTAATGAGAGTCGAAACTACAACTGTAAAGAGCAAGTGTTGGAAGTCAGTGACTTTAACCACTGAGCTACAGTACATGAAATAAAATATGTCTGAACTGACAAAACAACCAAAAGTATTACACCTAACACTGCACATCTGATCTAGTTGGAGCTATGGGTGAGAAGGGAGACACTGATATTCAATGAATAGTCAAGCTCAAGAAATCAAAGTACATATTTACCACTTAAATAAAATGAAGATAAGTATTATAAAGTATATTCAAGAGCTGTCAGTAAGACAGCATGCTCTTCTATTTTCAGTGCTCAATAATAAAACAAAAATAATGTATAAATTTCTACGTTAAAAAAAAGGGGCCATAAAATACTGCCAAAACCCATGTCAGAGTTAAAGTGACCTCCTGTTATGCTCTCAAATAAATGTGTGAATTTTCCACTTATTCATGTCAGTAGTTTTGAAGATAATATGTACACAAGAACTTAACCAAAGTGTGAAGCCACACCAACGCCAGGGTGAGTACAATAGCTCTCCCTATTCTTCAAATAGGCTAGCAATAAATGCTATGCCAAATTCTTTGCCTTATACCTTTACAATGTTCCTGTGTGATACTGTTGTTTCCAGTAATTTTCAGTCTGAACACACTATGACTTCTAGAGGACCTCTCATTCAAGTTAGTTTCACCGACTGCCCTGTTCTTTGATGCCAGTTTCAGAAGATCTGTTATCTAAAGTTAAAAAATTCTATTGTTTTTATTTAGTTCTCTAATATTTGTTACTTGTGCTTAAGGTAGATTGGTTGATTGGATTTAACATGGCGCCAAAACAGAATAGGTATGGCAACTTTCCAGATTTACTGGCCGAGGAAGACCTCAGGTGCCCCTCTGTGCAGAACCACAGACATTTTGTAAGATAGCTGGATAGCTTCCATACATGAAAGAAACCAAATCCCAGTCGAGATTCAAACCCACAGCGGTGAGGGCTAAGTGGTTTAAAGTAGATGGAATTGTGCATGAAATAATTTTTTCAGCTGTCATTAACTTATCTAAAAACCAGTTTTCCATTGAAAAAGTTGGTTTAAAATGTTCATTGATTATATAACAATATATAGTTTAACATAGTTGAATATTACATACAAATCTTCATAATCTAAAAGAACCCTGAACCCCACCTGAAGAAATAATAGTTGGAAATATATTCTGTAACAATGTCAAATTACCTGGTCTTCACTTGTTATCTGTACAGTGGTCAAGTTAGTCACCGTGACATCGTTGTTCGCAATCTTTATTTCATGTTTAGCACCTTCCTGGTTGCCTAGGAGATCTCGTATTGTTTCATTGTAAATCTCGAGGAATGAGCCTTCAAATTCATACTGGAAAATAAATAAATAAAAAATTTGGCTTTTAACAATTTGTCGCTGAACAGAACATACCATAACTGACCATCAATACATATCACAATGACCTGAACACCGATATTATGAATTTAGAAGATCTGCATGTCCTTGGGGGAAATTTTCTTTTTTTTTAGACATACCAGCAAAAGATTACCTAAAATGTTAAATTTACATTTATACTGGAAATCTTGGAGTTAAAAGTTGTTCTGTTAATTTTTTTACCCTTTATCACGCCAAATATTTTATCAGACTTGTACATCTTTAAATCTAGACAAAACATTTCATCATTTTTAGGGAAAATTACAAAATATTTACAAACTGAATAGTATACAGTGCAAACCATGATCAGATAGCATGGATATGCTACCTGTTCTTGGTTTCAACTGATTGCAAGGGTAAAACCTGTTGCCACTACAAAAACATATCTACCTGCCATCCCTTATCAACCAAATCCCTTGTGCTACTGAAGATCTGTAGAACACCTCTTGAAATAACACCTCTATTCTCGTCATCTACAACTGACGGACCCTCCATTGTGAATGTTTTTCCACTTCCTGTTTGACCATATGCAAATATGCATACATTGTACCCATCTAAGGCTGACTGAAAGCACACACACAGTAAGAAAATGTAGATTCAAGATGTTAATAAATCTACAATGAAGAGTAAAACAGCTTACTTATGAAAGGGTCACACAAAGCATGCACATGGCCACTTGGATTTTCAATATTCATTCATTTTAAAAACTAAATTCATTTTTCATTTTCATTTATTTTCTGTTTGTTTGATAAAATGTTTTGACAGTGACTTGAAGTGTCTAAATGATATTTCAGCCTTACACTTACCTGTACAAGTTGAGAGATCTCGTCAAACACTTCAAATTGAGTTGTAGCAGGTCCAAAAACTCTGTCAAAACCAAACTCATACTTTCCATTGCCTTTACGATTTCCACCTAAAGTACTCTGAAAATGATTTCATAGTTGTTTATTTAAAATGAGCAAGCTAGATATTACACATTATAAAATGGTTAAATCGAATTTAGTGAGAGTGAAACAAAAGTTAACAAGTTGCAGTAAAGGAAAAGAAATTCTTTAAAGGTTGGTAAGTTTCTGACTCCCTGGGATGTAAGTTTGTTGAAAAATGGCCGTCCTGGAACAAAAAGACATGCATCAAGTATGCAGAAAACCTGTGTAATAGACTGCTCTTAGGTCTATTGTCAAGCAAGTGTCTTTTCTATTTGGTTTGGTTTTAATTCACACCAACACAGTATAGATAAAATGGCAACTTTCCAGCTTTACTGGTGGAGGAAAACCAGGCACTGAAGTAGAACCACTAACATTCCACGAGCTAGCTGGATAGCTTCCCTATATGAAAGAATTCCAATTCCCTTTTAGGATTCAACCAACAAATGAGGGGGGTAAGTGGTTTTCAAGGTCAAAGATTAGGAAAGTGCATCGCCTATTCCAGAATATAACAAGACTAGTCAATCCCTCAAGCCGGATCAAATTTTGTAACGTTCATAGATTGCAAATGGGTTAAAAACTCTGCTTCTCTGAGATATTAGACTCAAAGCCCCTTGGCCCTTTTACAAGTAAAATGAACACAAAAAGATCAGAATCAATAAGCGACCAGGTGAACAAAAATGATCTAATCTGCAGTGGTCGGTGGTTTTCGTAGTAAATCAAGGTAAACAAAAAACAATAAGTAATTTTTATGTGTACAATGGAACATTATCCCATTCTTAACGCTCACTGAGAACTAACTTTCAGCCCAGTTTTTAAGTTCCAGTATTTTATGTTTCCTCATCTGGGGAAGTTCAATGTGATTTAAACCCCCATTATTTTTCCCCCGTTCTCCTTTGGGCCCAATAAAGGCCCTAAAATCTAAAGAAAAATCTTTTTGTTTTCCCGTAAAAAGGGAAAAAAACACAAAAAAAAAAGTAGCACAATTTATATTTTTTGTTTTTTTGTTTCATTTTTTTGGGTTTTCTCACAGTATTTATCTTTTAGGGTGAGTAGTTTCCCTCGTTCTGGAGAGTTACAACCAAATATTTCTACCCCTTCCCCCGTGCTAAAACCCAACCAAAAACATCTCCCCCCGGGGCGAAACCCCCTCAAGAAAAGGTTAAATGGATTTTGAAGTCACGACTCTAACGGGTCGACCACCGGGGGCCCGGGACAAAAGAATTTAATATAAGTAGCCATATTTCATATTGGACATTTAGAACTGTAAACGATTCAATCAATTCTTTGCACAATCTAAGTAAGGAATATAAATTTTGTCAAAACAAAGACCTTTGACTAACAATATGGCTGTGTATCAAAGACTTGACAACCAGTAGCTCCGTCTGTGTAAGTTTAGACAAGCGATATGTCAAACAAGAGGGCCATGATGGCCCTAGATCGCTCACCTGACTTATCAATCTCATCCAAACAATTACCTAGACAAGCATTCTGACCAAGTCTAATGACAGGTGAGTCAAAAATGTGACCACTACAGTGTTTACAAGGATTATCCATATTTGAGCAGTGCGACCTAGTTTTTTACCCATGTGACACATATTCAAACTTGACCTAGAAATCATCAAAACAAACTTTCAGACCAATTTCCAGGATACTTGGATCAAAACAGTAGCAACAAGAGTGTTAACAAGATTTTTCTATTTTTAGCTCCGGTGACCTTGCTCCACATGCGATTTCAAACTCATCCAAGTAATTACCTAGACAAGCATCCTGACCAAGTTTGATGATAATTGAGTCGAAAATGTCACCACTAGAATGTTAACAAGGTTTATCCATATTTGGACGGTGTGACCTAGTTTTTCATCCAAGATGACCCATGTTCGAACTTGACTTAGAAATCATCAAAAAAACAAACTTTCAGACCAATTAACAGAATATTTGGATCACAACAGTAGCCACTAGAGTGTTAACAAGATTTTTTCTATTTTTTAGCTCAGGTGACCCTACTTTTTCATCCGAGATGACCCATGTTCAATTTATTCCTAGCAATGACCTAGACAAGTTTCCTGACCAAGTTTGATGACAATTGAGTCAAAATTGTGACCACTAGAGTGTTAACAAGGTTTTTCTATTTTTAGCTCCTGTGACCTAGTTTTTCATCCGAGATGACCCATGTTCGAACTCATCGAGCTATCACCAAGACAAGCATCTTGATCAAGTTTGATGATGATTGATGCAAAAATGTGACCGCAAGAAGTGTTAACAAGGTTTTTTACTATTTTTAGCTCCGGTGACCTACTTTCTCATCCAAGATGACCCATGTTCGAACTCATCCGAGCTATCACCTAGACAAGCATCCTGACCAAGTTTGATGATGATTGAGGCAAAATTGTGACCTCTAGAGTGTTTACATGGTTTTTTCTTTTTTTAGCTCCTGTGACCTAGTTTTTCATCCGAGATGACCCATGTTCTAACTCATCCGAGCTTTCACCTAGACAAGCATCTTGACCAAGTTTAATGATGACTGATGCAAAAATGTGACTGCTAGAGTGTTAACAAGGTTTTTCTATTTTTTAGCTCCAGTGACCTACTTTTTCATCCGAGATGTCCCATGTTCGAACTCATCTGAGCTATCAACTAGAGAAGCATCCTGACCAAGTTTAATGATGATTGGGTCAAAAATGTGACCACTAGAGTGTTCACAAGGTTTTTTACTTTTAGCTCCTGTGACTTAGTTTTTCATCAGAGATGACCCATGTTTCAAACTCATCCAAGCAATTGACTAGACAAGCATTCTGACCAAGTTTGATGATGATTGGTTCAACAAGGGTGCCATAGTCACAAAATAACGCCCGTTTACGAAAGCTTTAGATGGAGATGGGGCATTATGGATAAGTGTTATCTAGCAAAGCAAGTTTTTATTCTTGGCACTGTGTTGTTAAATGAACCTTAAAAACAATCAGTAGGGAAATATGCACAGGATGTGTGACCTTGACCTTGGTCGCAGAGACCTGAATTTTATGCACGGCACTCAGCCTCACAATGATGACATTTGTGGCCAAATTATATTGAAATCCCTCTATGCATGTAGAAGTTTTGCTCCAGACAAACGTTTTTCTATGAGCTCTAACTGTGACTTCACATTTGACCTAGAGACTTGGTTCATGTGCAGGGCACTAACGTCTCAATGGTGGTGAACAATTCTATAAAGTTACATTAAAATTCCTCCATGCATGTAGAAAATATGCTCTGGACAACATCTGGATATTTAATCATCTCCAGTGACCTTGACCTTTAACCTAAATTAAATGTGTCACACCTGTAGTCATGATAGTTACCATTTGTGCTACAATCCATCAATAAATGATGACTTAAATGGTCCCTATACACATCTTCAAATTTTTATCTGAACTTTGACCTCTATGTGTAACCTTGACTTTGGTCGCAGGGATCTGAATTTGACAGTGCGACACTCAGCCCTCACAATGGTGAACATTTGTGCCAGTTATATTGAAATCCCCCTATGAATGTAGAAGTTTTGCTCCGGACAAGCGTATTTTTTCAATGAGCTCTAAGTGTGACCTTGACCTTTGACCTAGAGACCTAGTTCATGTGCGTGACATGGCTTCTCATAATGGTGAACATTTCTATGAAATTTCATTAAAATCCCTCCATGGTGTAGGAGATATGCTCCGGACAAAAATCTGGATATTTCATCATCTTTAGTGACCTTGACCTTGTAATATATTGCCTAAATTATATGTATCACAGCCATAGTCTTTGATAATGACCAATTTGTGTTACAATCCCTCAATAAATGATGATTAAATCATCCCTATACACATCTTCATATTTTTATCCTAAACTTTGACCTCTATGTGTGACCTTGACCCTTGGCCGCAAGGACCTGAATCTTGCGCGCGACACTCCGCCTCACAATGGTGAACATTTGTGCCAAGTAATATTGAATCCCCTCTATACATGTGGAAGTTTTGCTCCGGACAAGCATTTTCCAATGAGCTCTAAGTGTGACCTTGACCTTTGACCTAGAGACCTGTTTCATGTGCGCGACACTGCTCCTCATAGTGGTGAACATTTCTATGAAGTTTCATTAAAATCCCTCCATACATGTAGGAGATATGCTCCGGACAAAATTGGACGCCGCCCGCCCGCCCGACTCAAAACGGGCGTATAAAAATGTGATCGCTAGAGTCTTCACAAGGTTTTTCTATTTATAGCTCGTGACCTAGATTTTCATCGGAGATGACCCATGTTCTAACTCATCCAAGCAATTGACTAAAAAAGCATCCTGACAAAGTTTGATGATGATTGGTTCAAAAATGTGACCGCTAGAGTGTTCACAAGCAATTGTGGACATACGACGGACGGACGACGGACATTCACAGATCCTAAAAGCTCACCCTGAGCAAGCTCAGCCAAAAAAGCTGAGCCAAAAATCTTCATATCTAAAAATATATAAATACAAACCTTTAACTCTTGTATGGTATTATGTAATTTTCGACGAACTGTTTCATGCTCCCTACATTTGGTATTTAGGTCTTCGTTTACTGCTATTTGTTCTCTTAATTTCCTCTGCAACTCCTCGATGCTTGAATCCCTCAGATTTATCGTCGAGTTTGCTTGCTCAAGAGCAAGCTAGAAATATGACAAATAATAATATATAACAATAAATAACATGGAAAATCAAAACAGTCCTAGGATAGAATGCTTTTCTATTCTCACAGCATGAAAATAAGACACAGGTCATGGCCACAAAGGAGAAAATTTTCCGATGATACTTAAGTCATTACGTAGAAAATAAAGAAATAATTACTTCCAATTAAAATTAAGTCAATTAAAAGTATAATTCCAATAAGAGTAATTTCTGCTTAATGCAAAATTCATTGCCTTAAATATTTCAACAGAAATATAAGAAAAATACATAATGTAACTATATAGATGAAAAAAATTAAACCAGTTTGACTAAAAAATCTCCTATGATAAACCAGATATTGAGTCAAATGAAGGTATGAAACTATTGGCCAGTCAAAATTTAAATTTTTAAAACTGTCAAATCAAAATACAGCTATTTCAAATGACTGGCTACTTTTTTCAGTTTTTCCTTTTTCTATAACCTATTTTCTAAAACCTACCTTTGTAGCATCAACTTCAGACTTGAGTCCAGCTTGTGACGACGTCAGCTGAGCTATGGAAGACTTGAGCCCTGCTACTTCTTGCTGGAGACCGTGAATCTCCCCTTCTAAAGCTTCTTTCTGCCGACGTAATGTTGCCTTGGTAAACTCAAAATTTTCAGTGTCCCTTTCTGATTGTCTTTTGACATCATTTAACTCATCCTCTGTATTCCTGTTCAACATATGTATTATAAATAGCTTGATATGGCATCAAAATTTTAAGTTATTTAACTTATTTGAAGCAAAATGGTAGCCCTGAAACTTAAATTTGGAAGAAATCATCAAAATCCTCACCAGATTGCTAAAAAAAAATTTATTTTACCTACCATCATGTAGCTACGCTACCCTACCCATACTGGTGTTTGTAGTGGGATGGGAAACAAAGAGAAATTTTAGGCTGTTTTAGGTGTAAAAATTATATTTCACCAACCTTAATTTCTTCATCAGGGTTTCAATCTCCTTTGATGCGTTTGTGTAATGAACTTCTTTTTCCGCTACAGTCCCCGATAGTTGGTTATTTTGACTTTCTAGCATGTTTATTCTACTACTGCATGCTTGCATCTGTTTAAAAATATACATTATTTAATAATGGACAATTCAATCATTCTAATTATAAACATTTACTGGTACATTCATTATTAGAATACAGTACTTACAGCAATGTATATTTATAAATTGTATACTGTAATCCTTTTCATTCAATATTTGCAATAAGTTACTATGAGCTCAGTTTTAAAATGTATCCTCATGCTTTTGCAGATGTTAATACACGAAAAAAGGTGCATTATTCCTCTATTCTTGCATCAAAACTACACGCGCAGGTATACATTAACAGAGACCAAAATCATTTTAACAACCAGGTAACCAAGATTGTTGATTACAGTCGGCTGTAGGACAAAATGACTGTCTCAAATGTATTAACTTAGACTGCTACAAAACTTATAAAACACTGTTATAATGTAGTAAAACTAAAAATGACCACCTCAAATTAAAATTCTAAATGCTCAATGTAGTTATGGAAATACAGTAAAATGCCACCTAACGACCACGCCACAAATAGGACCACGCCGTTATTACGGGCACTTTTTAAAAGTACAAAACATTTGCCTTCTTTATTCATTGAGACAAATGACCAGTATACCGACCACGTCTCTAATCCGGCATAACGACCACTTCTGTCAGACATTTGTGTGTATTTCTTATCAAAACATTAACCTGTATTACGACCATGCAACATAATGGCCAGACATCACTTTGTGTTTATTGCCCCCCATTAATTGTCGTAATCTTCCCTCTAGCGTAAACAAATACACCGGGTCAAATGAGGTCATTAATACATATCGATTGATTTAGACGCTTGCTTAACGATGTATCTTTAGCATTCAAGCGTCAACATGATCAGTTTAAACCACTTCTGGCTAATTAATCTAAGCAGCATTGGTGTGAGAAACGATTAACTTAACACACTAGATTAATATTTTCATTATATTAAGGATGTATCATATTATCATGCATTAAAAATGTTTTTTGTTTAAAAAATATGTGTTTCTTTTTACTTATTTAATAAAGTACATTTACCATGTGCATAAAACTATACAAGGTATACATTAAGTTAAGTTGGACTTCGTCAGATATTAAAGTGACTTATTCACTATTAAGACCAACTCACTATTAAGACCACTTTGAGTCAGTCCCGTAAGTGGTCTTAATAGAGAGAATTTACTGTAGATAGAAATAGATTTTCAATTTTTTTGTATAATCGTTCAATGCTTTGTAATTAATCACACAGGCCTGGACCTACCAGCCTGCATGATTATAATATAAGGTGCATTTGAATTTGAACTGTGAATTATTCTACAATGCACTAAAAATTGATATTTCCTAAACCAACCATCTTAGAAAATTTTAATCACGACCCTGGATAGCAACTGGATGACTCACTTGTTTCATCATATCTTCCCTTTCTCTTTCTTTACTCTTCCATTTCTCCTCCATATCTTGCAGTCGACCCTTAAGGTCCCATGGGGCTCTTTTACTACCTTGAAAAGACAAAATGTTTTTTTCACTCATTCTTTTTTTAATGTAATAAATTTACAATATTGCTGTTGACCAGATGTAGAATTGCATTTCTTACATGACAAATATTTATCAATACTGTTTTGAAACTGTCAAGGTACTTGCCATCAGACAGCAATTTTCTTAGATAAGTTTGTATTATAATAAATTCTTAAGTTAATACAAGTTGCTGACTGGGTATACTGGAGAAAATACCCTTGCTGACATAAATGAGCCATGTCACAACAAAACCAACATAGTGCATCTGCGCAGTCTGATTAGGATCCATGCTGTGCGCTTACCAACCCTTTTACAAGTACAGAATATGATAGCGAACAGCATGGATCCTGATCAGACTGCGCGGATGCGCAGGCTGGTCTGGATCCATGCTGGTCGCAAACCCCTTATGTTGGTTTTGTCATGACGCGGCTCAAATATAACCAGTTGACCTTCGGCTATATTCTCAAATGTATCCCATTACATACCATCAGCAACTTGTGTAACTATTATTATGTTATTGCATGTTTTTCAAGTTCCTTTTCATTGGATAGTGAATATATTAATAATAACTATATGATACTGCAAGCTTGTAACTTTACATTTCATTGGCTAAACGTGATGTGATGTCTACATAGTTTTATATACATGGCTGCTATCAATTCATGAAGGATTCTTACTTTTTTCTCTAGAAAAGGAAGTTTGCGGAATCAAAAAATCAGAATAAATATTCCTGACAGGTTATGTGACCGTATATTATTGGTCGTTAATAAAAATAAAAAAACACTAGCCTAAAGGCTCGAGTTATATTCACAAACAACCCTTTATATAGGGCCATATAACCTGTCAAAAATCTTTATAACTAATAACACACATGACTCCTGTAAACTGATTAAGTAATTTCATGTTTTCTTCTAAAACAAAAGAAGTTTGTTATATCATAAATTTATTATAAAGATTCTTGACAGGTAATATGGCTGTGTTACTTGCAATATAACCCTCACCAAGATTTGAAGTTTATAAATGCAAACATTCATATAAACAGGGCTATTATATATGGTGTCAAAATTCTTTAGAGTTAATAGTATTATGTACTTACTACTAGTATTGGCAGAAGATGCCGCCGGCCCACTTGGTGGTTTTCCATTATTTAGTTTTGAACCTGACACAGACTGGCGAGTTAAGCCTCCTATAAAGAAAGAAAATCACGATAAAAGTAAAGTTATTTATATTTTTCTGTACGCTGCATACTACAAACTACTAGTACTTCAAATTTATAAGTATACAACAGGTACAGTAGGACACTGTTGGCGTAATCACTTTTCCTTACTGCTTGCTAGTAAAACAATATAAATTTTCAAAGTTCAAAAAGGCCAAATTCTGTCAGAATCCATATTAGAGTTATGGACCTTGGAAAGTAACCACCTGTTATGCCCTCAAGTAAGTTTGGAGATTTCACCGCATTCCTTTCAGTACTTTTTGAGATATCAACTTGCAAGCAAACAATTACCAAAGTTTGACAACAAGGCCAGGGTGAGCTCAATAGCTCTCTCTATTCTACGCATAATCTAGCTTGAACTTAAAATTCCTTGTGCTTCAAAGAACTGAAGACATAAGACTATACATTACTGTGGCAAATTAAATGACTGTAATATAACAAATGCTAACTAATAAATTATAGTGTGTACATGTATTATTGTCTTCTTTTTAGTTTTTACACTTTACAATTCTTGAAGCACCCTATTATTTTACCCAAATGGGTAGGACCACTTCCTCTGCCTGTGAAGACATGGTCTGCTACCTAAATTTATGAAATTTTGCCTAAATTAGCAAAATTAATCCAATTAGGCATACCCTACTACTTGTTTTTTTTAAGTGTCGATAGTTGAAGTATTATATGTAATGGGAAATGTATTATTGGTGGTATTAAAATAAGGTAGTTTCAATTATGTCAAATTATGAATAAATAAAAAATCCAGTTCAATTTATTGTGATAGTCAATAGTGACTGTTGTCTGATTTTGCATCATTAAGTGTATTAGTAATTCTAAAAAAATTATTGCCCTAGCTAAGATAGTAGTATCATCCCCACTAAAACTTAATTGCTGTTATTTTCCCAAAAAATTAAAACATACTGTATATAAAATTAAATTAACAGTTGCATGTACATGTATAAAATAGTAACCATGAACATGAATGTAAGGAAATCATTATTATAGTCCCAGAAAGAATTTCTATACATTTCAATTTCTTGTTGTTCTATAAATCAGCAAGACTTAGTACATTCAATGTGCAATGTTCACCTTCAAAGCTATCCTCCTCATCAACGATACATCTTTGCCCGTACCGTACTTTACGTACTTGAGCCGGGGCTCTAGGTAAATTCCGTCGAGAGTGATACATACTGTCCTTAACGTCATCTGTAAATGTTGGAACAGCTGCACTAACATGGACTTTACCTCTGGGATTTTCTTTCCTTATCTCATGACTTATTTCATCATCACTTAAACCCCCTCCATCAACAGCTTTTCTCCGCAATCTTGATGATTTTGTTTCATGAACAATTTGCGTTTTCAAAATTACAGTCTTCTTCGCATTACTTGTTTTCACTTCCTCATTTTGTAATTGTTCATCTTGAACACTTGCATGATTTGGCTTTACAGGTTGTCTAGATCTTGGAGAAGGTCTTGAAGATTTGTAAAGAGATGAAACAGAAGAAGTGTAGGTCCTTTGTGGTGAGATAGAACTATTTCTTGACGAGTTAGAATCTCTGCTACTTGCTCTAGAGAAACTTCTTGGTGTAACACTGTAATTTGGTGACACAGATACACAATGAGATCTTGGTGAATCTGCGGTATTTAACTTTGATCTGTCCCTGTAACTGTCCTTACTTGTATGATTCTGGAACCTTGGAATTCCACTGCCTCGAGGTGTGACAGCTTTCACTTGTTTGATAGCTCCTTTATCATCATTACAACATTTTCCTATTCCGTCTGATGTATCACAATGTATAAATGAAGTGACTGCCTGATTAGTGCCAAGTTTAGTATTAACCCCTACTGTCTTACTTTCAATTTGTTTATTACTTTCTTGCAACTGTAGAAGCTCATCTTCATTCTTTTGCATTAAATTTTCATGTTGAGCATATTCTGGCTCTGAATCCTCGGGATCTTGCTGAGATCTAAACATGCCAGATTCAGTGCATGTCCATTCTTTTTCATCAATACACCCACTTTTATCATCTATATCATTGTAAACCAGTTGCTTCTTTACATCACTGAAAACATCAAACTTGTCCTTTTCTTTATCTGTATTAATGATCATAGAGCTTTCATTAAAGGAATTATTTGACTCATTTTTCTTTCTTTTCACAATTTCCATTTCCAACAGATTACTTTTAGATTCATTTTTACCCACAGCTGTAATTTGTTTGGTGGAAATTTTCTCCTCATTTTTCCATGCTTTATCCCTTTTCTCTGGTTTGGTCTTGCACTTCTTTACGGGAGCTGGGGTCACTGCAACTTTTCCAGCTGTAAGCTTCCTTGGTCTTGGAATCAGACTTCGTGGACCTTTGTTAGGAGTATCAACTTCTTTCATTTTCTTCCCATCACCTTGCCTACTGGTAACAAATTCTTCCAAGCTGATTCCTTCATTGCATTTGTTACAGTTACATGTGGTATTAACAACACCTTTACAACAGGATACTATGGTAAATGTTACAGCTGAATTTACTGCCATTCTACCATTTCCTTGTACAACACCTTTAACTTTATCATCTTCCTCGTCAAGTTTAGACTCCAGGGTGTCATTAAACTGAACTTTGTCAATCAGTCTGTCTTCAGAGAACTCTAAATCATCTCCCACAATTTTTAGATCATTCACAGTTTCCTCATTACCATCAGTTAATGTTGGATCGGATTCTAGCATGTCATCTAATTCACTAGATGTTTCAACTGAGTCACAAGCTATGAATATACAAGATTCCACAGAAGTATTCCATCCTTTCCTAGCACTTCTTTCAATAAATACAGGTATCCTGGACATTCTAATATGATAATTCCATCCAAAGGCACCTTTGTTTCTAGATCAGACTACTTTTTTTCGTACAAATACTGTTTTACTGAAGTCATCCCCAAGTAAAAAATGATTGATTATTTTCCAATTCTCATCAAATTCTTAACCAAGTCTTCTCCAAAAAAAATTAATTCCTAAAAGATTATTTTCCAATTCTTATAAAACTGTTTAAAATGTATTTCCTCTTCAGATGATATATCTGTCATTTTAACCAAACAAACAAAATTAATTTCTTGTCTGCAAGTGCATGCCTGAATTTTCAAAGCAAAACCCAATCATATATCAAATCTTTAACACTCTTTTCATAAAACAAAACACATACATTAGGTATTGTAATTCAATACCATCAGACTTTTAACACTTACTTAACTTACTTTAGGTTAAAAGATAAATGATAATGTATGGACAATAGACCATTAAATCAATCAATAATGTCTCAAAAAAGGCAGATGATTTTCACAGATAAAAAAGTTTATTTTCATTTTAACGTTTGCGACTGTTACTAACTCAGCCTTTATAAATAAGTTATCAATTTCAGCTTGTACAATGGAGTAAAACTGTTTTAAGATCGAAATGATTGTTCATTATTAAATATGCAGAAAAAGCAAATTTATGAGTAAGCAATATAAATAGCCTTATCAAACAATCCCTTGAGCTAAACGTTCCTTCTTTTTTAAACTTACCTTTGGTAAGAGGGTGGGTTTCTAACACAAAAAGAGTATTTTTCTTTTCTCTCCAAATTTTCAAGTAAAATTACCCTATTGGTTGCATTTTATATTGAATTTTTATTTCTTTAAACTTTTGAAATTTGTTTTAAAAACATCGGACAATTGGATCAAAAACCAAGGCAAATTAAGTATCAAAACATGTTTCGCTTTATTCAGCTTTCTCAGTTGATACATAAATAAAAAGACGTAAACGTACAAAACTAACGTCTACGTTAATAGACGTCATATTTGGCGCGTAAAAGGAACGTTATAATATATTACAATAAGTAATACAATAAAACATGTGCATATGTACATGTATGTATAAACGTAATTTTTTTTAACATAGCATATATAATTTTCGAAAAGAATTACATAAAATAACTGGATCAAAAGATACATATATTTTCATAGCGAAACTAGGCTAGTAAATAATTACAACAAGTATGAAAATAACAGTTACTTATGTGAAAGTTTAGAATTCGAAAAAAATGTGCTTTAATCACATGTTGAAATTGTAAAAAAAGGGAGATAATAATTTAGAAACATCGTTATCAATCAGTATATCTTATAAAGCTTTCAAATAAAATGAAAATGATCTATCTATTATCTATTCAAGTTATGGTATTATGCTCAAAATCAATTTATGTTACATGAAAAAATCAAAAATCATATGAATACATTATGAATAATGTAGTATATAAATGTAACAATCAAAAAATAAATTAAAATAAAAACATCGGGACACTTTCAACTCTCTTGGCCTCTGATAAAATTGGTACTTTAACAGTAGCACGACAACTTTATATTAGGTATGACACAATAAGTGTTAATATAAATAATCAATTACAGCAAATTAAAATAACAAAAGTACAATTTGATTATTAATCAAATTTTCTGGAACTCTATTTGTCTCATTTTGAATAAAGGAAATGTCCGTTGTTAAGACATTTTTTTTTTGTTCAAGGATTTCAAATATCAGCTCTTAACTCTTAGCGTGCTAACAGCAAACGAATATATCCATGTGACAAGATCATACCAAGATCACACATCCATGCCATCTGATCATGGTACTTAATATTTCAATGTTCGGTCAGTAAATATTTTGAAACCTTCTCAGTGATTTTTTTCCCCAATATTCAAAACAACATGTGGCTTTCTAAAGGGAAAAATATAGCGCGATAAATCAGAAAAGAGGAAAATCAAATTCCAACAACTGAGAATGGAATTTATCCACACATTTTATAAAATTTTCTATTTCAATTCAATTTAACATGCATGGTACATAGCAGTGGCTATATGAACAGCTTTCTGTCTTCCAGCTGATATAATTTATAAGTCAGATGCTGTTAAGTCATGGTTCTGGTGAAGAAGTGCACAGGACATTTCATGGGAAAATATTAGCTTTTTTAGGGGAAAATATACATATTTTGAGCTAGTGGAAACAGCCTTTATTCAGCTGTAAAATACAGGGGGAAAATCACTGCTTCTGAATGATTTAATTCAGATTGACAGATGGACTTTAATACATTTTGCCTGGTAAGGTCAGTACCAGTACAAAGTCATTTTTGATTTTGATACTATATATAAAATCATTGTTGAGTTCATAACGTAAATAAAGACTTTAAAACAGTCACTAACACCAATTCTGCAGGGAAAAGATTTTATTGAATATTGATTTTCTGATAAGAAAACCACTGATAAAAGTTAAACACATTGTTATATGAATTGTACAATAATATACATTGTACCATAAAACAATACAAGATCAGACAGATAAGAGAAAAAAAACATGTCAATATTTGTGTCGGTATCAAATTACACTAAACATGGAGATTACATCTTTTCACTGATTGACTTTAAACAAATGATGGTTCTAACACTTTTTCATACTTTTTACTGCAGGTATCATATTTTCATGGTGATTTCAAATTACAAATAAATTCATTAATGAACTTTCAGTTCTCTTACTTTATCTTATTTCAAACAAGCTCCTTCTCTCTGTTTTGAAGGAAGCAGGGAGAATTTTCACTGTATTTTCCCTTGTAGGTGGGAATTCCAGGCCATTTTTTCTGCACATTCATACAATAGCTGCAACGATCATAATGTTAAGTATGTCATACAGGCTTTTTTTTCTCCTCTTAATTGGGAAGAGGCCTCAAATCAATTGCCCTTTGACTTTTTGGAAGGATTATATTCATATCAAATTTTTTGAGGAATATATGGTTTCTTTTTTGGGGGGCCATCCCCTGTCGAATGTGTTAACTGTTTTCTCATTGGATGAATGTATATGTAATACTACAGAGCAGAATAATTCAATTATAAGAGGTCTTTTGGTAATGAAAACTGATCCCTGAAGTGATTACAGATTTGAAATCTATGTGAATACTGATGGCTGAAAATAACAAAGGGCATGTAGGGTAGGTTATCATTCTTGTGTGCTGCACTCCTCCTAAATGAGATCTATCCACCTATGAAGTTTCAAGTTGATACCTCTAACACTTTTTGAGATAAGCTCCAGACAAAAAGTATGAAAAATAACGAAGGGCAAGAACTCAAAAATAAGAAAGGGTAGAGTTATCATTCTTGCGCACAGCATTTCTCCTCAATAAGATAAATCCACCTATGAAGTTTCATGTTGACATCTAAAAGATTTTTTGACTTATGCTCAACTCGGGTGAAAAATTAAGTATGAAAAATAACAAAGGGCAATAACTCAAAAATTATGAAGGGTAGAGTTATCAGTCTTGTGCACTGCACACCTCCTGAGAGAGAACTATCGACCTATGAAGTTTCATGTTAATATCTCAAAGGCTTTTTGAGTAATTTTCTGGACAAAAAGTTTGAAAAATAACAAAGGGCAATAACTGAAAAATTATGCAGGGTAGAGTTATAATTCTTGTGCATTGCACTCCTCCTCAATATGATTTATTCACCTATGAAGTTTCAAGTTGATACCTCAAGTACTTTTTGAGATATGCTCCGAACAAAAAATGTGTGACGGACAGAGACTATTTCTATATCCCCCATACCCTTTTTGGCGGAAATAATAAACATAGCCACCAAAAAGAAATACATGTTTTCAATTATTTTCAACCTGAAATCTTACTACCATGGCCACTCTTTTACGACATTATTAGAAGGTACCACTACAGCACTTCTAGGCCTGATCCTTTTGTTCAGGAAAAAGGCCTCTGTATGGCAGGATAAACCGAACAAAATCTGTTCTTAACCATCAGTTCCCACATTGCTAGCTAGATGCAGTGAGTTTTTAAACAAAGCTAGGGATATGTCTTCTTCACTGTGTGGGGCATTTGGCCTGTGCTTTAACTTTCTGACTGTCCTACAGGGGTTTAATCCTGAAAGTCCCTGCTTTTCACAAGGAGATACATGTAGGAGGAGACCTATGGTTACTTTTGACTGGTGCAGCCATTACAGGGAAGATTCTATGAAACACACCTACCTGCTGGTTTTGTAGGCTTTGATAAAAGGCTTAAAAAGGGGGGTTTAAAATGATGCTGTTTTTGTTGGGACTTAAACCCCGGCCCCCTTTTTAAAAAAATTTTTCACACTTTTTTTTTGGGTTTTTCAAATGGGCCTTTAGTTGGGCTTTTGGTTTTTGGTATATTTCAGATAACTCTTTGCCCTTTTTGCTGTTTTGGGGCCCCTTTTTAAGGGGAAAAAAAACCCTTTAATTTTGATTTTTTTTTTTTTAAAATTTTTTTCAATATTTTAAAAGGGCTTTGGGAAAAATTGGCTTGGGAAAAAAGCTTTTTTTGAATGATATAAAGCAAAATTTTAAAGGGATTCGGGTGAAATATTTTTTATTAAAAAATTATATATTTAATTAAAAAAAGTAAATTCTTTTGTAAATAAAAAGAATAAAATTGGGGAAAGGGAACCAAAAATTTTAAAAGCTGGGCCTAAATTTATAAAATTTTAAATTTTTTTTTGAAAAAGATTTTTGTATTGAAAAAAATTCACTCTTAAGAAAATATTCTTTGGGGGCCTTTTCAAACATATCTCTTTCACACAGGCATTTTGGTATAATTCATTGTTTATAAAAATAATCAAACACTGTTATAAATTTAAGGCAGCAGAATATACCTTTACAGTGTTTTTGCCAGACTAGATTTTTTGAGGGTCACAAATCTGTATAAAAACAGGGATTTTTTTTGGCTTGTTTCATAGCCGATATTCGGTCATATTCCCAATTGAAAATAGTATATTATTTTCCCAATCCACAGGAAAAAATTCCCAATTGAAAGTTACAAAATAAAAA